GTATTTAGTTAAAAGATTTAGTAATATTATATTAATAATAATTATAAGTAGTTATATATTAGAAATAATTAGAAAAGAAAATAAATATATTACCCGGAATTATACTTTATATAGACTACTATAATTCTTATATTAAATAATTTAATAGGGGCTAAATAAATACTATAGGGAAATACTATAAGAACTTACCTTAAGCTATAATATAAAGATATAATATAGGTTAATAATAAATTTCCTGGAATTATATTTTTATTAAGAAATATAAATAAAGTAGTTTAAGTATCTATTTAAAGCTAGAAAAGTAAGATTAAAGAGATATTATAGAAAAATTATTAAGCCAAGTTTATTATAAAATAATATAATTTAATAAAAAATATAGAGAAATATTAGATTCCTAAATAACTTATTATAATTAGAGACTTGGGAAAGTCCGGAAAAGGAATTAGAATTATAAAGGCAATTACTATATTATATAATAAGAATATAATAAGAGATATAATTTAGTAAAAAATATAGACTAAAATTAAATACTCGAGTATTTTATTATAGCTAGATATTTAGAAAAGTCCGAATAAGTTACTAAAATATATAAAGGCAAGAATTATATTATATAATAAGAATATAGTAAGGAAATATAATTATAATATTAGAATTCTAATATATAAGCTATATATACTTAGTATTAAATTAGAATATTTCCTAATATAAGAAAAATATAAGAGTTAGAAATATAAATATTTAGGAATTAAAATATATAATATAAGATAATTAGAATAAATATAAGTTATATCTAATTACCTGAGATATTATAACTAATTATAAAGTAGTATTAAATAATATTTCTTTTTCAGAGAAATATATTAAAAAACAAAGTTAATAAGAAGTAAAAAAGCTATAATTAGAAAATAGCCTATAAAATAATATTAGAAAAGCAGCTAATATATAAGAAATATATTAGAAGCAAAGATCTAATCTTTAATAGATATATTATAAGAACTCGGGAATGTGAATTAAAGAGAAAAAAAAATTAAATTAATAGTAATAAATTAAAAGAGGCTAAATTATAATACTCGGGAAAAAGAGAAAGTAAAAAAATAAAATCAAATCTAATTAGAACTAAAAATAAAAGAGTTAGTTTTATAAAACTAAATATATTAGAGAACTAGAAATTAGTATAGGCTATAAGCTATAAAGTAGTTCCTCCTATAACTTTAGCTCGGAAGCCCTATAAAATAAATTAAAACATAAACTTATAAAGTTTCAAAGAAAACATTAAATAAAATAAGTTATTACTTTTTATTATTTAAATTATAATATAATTTAGTAAATTCAAATTATTACTATTTTTTCTTTTAATATTATTAGTTAGTAAAAAGCAGTTTATATAATAGTACTAATAGCTCTAGTATATACCTCAAGCTTATTTCTAGAATAATATCTATAGTTAATACTTATAGTAAAAAGTCATTAGTTATATCTCTCTAAAAATATATACTAAAGTAAAATATAAGATATATTTCTTTAAAACTCAGTTATTATTAATATTAAGTAAGGTATTATAACTTTCTATAAGCTTCTAGTAATTCTATAATACCCTTATAGAACCCGAATAGCTAGTACTAGTTATTAAGTAAAGATATAGAAGTATATCTTTAAAATTGCCTTTATTTTTATTTTTATTTACCGGAACCTAAAGTCTTTAAGTATTATAGTATTTTAGTAAATATACTAGACTATATATAACTTATTATAAGATATAATAATATATTAATAGAATATTAATTACTACTTATAATAGAATATAATTAATCTAATTATATTAAAGTTATAAATAGTTCTTTATAATACCTTAATATCTGAATTAGTTATATTATAATTCTTTAATTACTTAGTTTAGAAGAATTTAATCTTAGATATTTCGGTATATAAGAAAGAATATAATAAGGGCCGGATTAATTAATACTTAATTATATAAAAAGACTATATTCTTATTAATTCTATAGTAACTTCTTTATAAGGAAATATTAATATTATAAGTTAATTATAATAATATAATTAAAATAGGGAAAACTAACTTTATTCTAGATAAAATTGTTTTTATATTTATAATTAAATAATATATTCGATTCTATTTATATTATATATATAATAAAGTCCCTATTAATAATAATTCTTACTAGGTTCTAGGAAATAGTTATAGTTAATATAATAAGCTAAAATATAGTATACTTTTTTCCCCCTAATATAATCTTTTATAAATAAAAGTATTATATTCTAAAAAGCTAGAATAAAAAGCTTAATTCTTAATAAGATATATATATAAAACAGAAATAAGAAATAGTTATAAAGCTATATTATAGATATTTAATTACTAGTTAGCCTATATTAATTATATAGTAAGAGTACTAGAGCCTGAGGGATTTATTAATATAGAAAATTAGGCTTAATACTATAGGAGTTATAGAAAATATATTATTATTAGTTTTTAAATACTATTTCTTTTATATAATCCGGTAATTCGAATTTCAATTTACTAGCTATACCGGATATTTATAGAACAGGCTATATTATTATATTATTATAAGAGATTTCGAGTCTAGTATCTTAATATATATATATATATATATATATCTTATAAAAGAATAATAGGAATTTCCTAGCAGGCTATTAATTAATTTTAGGTATTAATTTCATATTTTATAGACTAATTAAATAGCTATACTTTCTTAGAACTTGACCTTTATTCCTAATATATAATTCTAGATATAACTAATATCTACTAATTACTATTTAATATCTATTTTTATAATTAACTATTTCTATTCTAGTATATAGTAAAATAGATCTATATAGACCCTTTATCTAGATAGATCTTTCTTAATAATTAGATTAAAATATAGTTTACTAGATAACTATAATATAGATTAATATATAAAGTAAAAAACAAGGAGATATACTTTAGTATATTCTAATAATATTATAAGACTAAAGAGAGAATTATAGCTTATATAAGATTAATAAGAGGCTTAATAACTCCTTTTATAGCTAGTATAATATAACTTGAACTTATATTTTATTTATATTTAGTATTTATACTTCTTATAGTAATAGCTAAAGTATAATTTGAAATATCTTATTTATATTAATTTTTTTTATATTTTCGAATAATAAAAAAATATAAATTAATAATATTTTTGCTTATATTAAGTTCTTTTTATTTTCTTTATTAATATAAGCTTACTAGTAATAAGTTTAATATTTTATATTATAATATTTATTATAATATAAAGAGAAAAGAATTTGATTTACTAAAATAATATTAAAAAGTATTTATAAAATTAATTCTATAGAACTTTCTTTACTATAGAATTAATCTTATAGGGCTTTATTTATTATAGAATTAATTTTCTAGTAAAGGAAAGTTAAATCTTAAATTAATTTAGTAGATAAGAAATTATATACTATAGTATTAATATTACAGGAATATAGTAGTATAGTATAGAAGCTATAGGTATAGAGAATAAAGCTATTTGCAAGGCTTAGCAAAAGACATACCTTAGGCAAGAGCAGTAAATATGTATTATATCTAAGGAAGCGAGTACGTATACAGGATTGCGAGATAGTATACAAGAAATAGGGTATTATATAGAAAAACTTATAGAATTAACGATTTTCCAACGTAGGAGGTTAGGAGGGATTAAATAGTTCTCTCTTTGCATAAGCACCTGTTCTAGGGTCTGCCCAGAGAGGGTACTTATGTATTCCAATCAGAGTTGGCCTCCTGTCATTTCCCCTTTGGGCGTATACCCATGTTTTAGGAATGCTACGCGAGCAAAACAGGGATGTTACAGGGATTGGCAGGGGCACACTCCTTTTGTATCTATACACAGCATACGTTCTATTCGCTACGGAAGAAGCTATAATGGTACTGGACCAAAGAAGAGCATCAGGTATACTAGCAAACTATGAGCATCATGAGATATCCTTTAGAAATATTATACCTCAATTCCCACTATCTATTCCTTGGATATCGTAGATGCATTAGCTGTATTTATTTTGGAAGTGTTATGCGAGGGGTTCGAAAATTAAGCGATATAGGGTTGTTGAGTATCAGCTGATCAGCCTAATAGACCTTTAAGTCGTCCACCAGTGCACATACGTTTCTGCTCAAATTTGAGGATTGCTACTGAGGACGCCACCTAGCTACAGTTGTAGGCGAACCTAGCTTTAAATTAAAACACCATTTTTTACAGGAAAAACTAAAACGACCCCCCACTCCCCCACTTCCCCGGGTGTCAATTGGGGGCCAGACTAGTTCTAGCCACTAACCTAAAGTAGAGGCGCTCGGACAGGAACACCAAAACTCTGGCTTTTTCATTAACTTAATTTTATAAGAAATTACTATATTTTAATGCTTGTTTTATTTCCTTATAGCGCTAATTAAAGGCTATTTAAATAGAAATTTTAGATTAATAATAACTCTTTAAATTAAGAAGTTGAAAAAATTCACATTTTACAGGCTAAAGGTAAGCTTAAGAAGGCCTAGAAATTTAGCAAATAGGTCCCTAAAACCAGATATAAGAGCCCTATAAGCCTATAATTTATAGGGCCTTATAAGGCCCAAAAACTAGAACTTAATTAATTAGTATATAAACTTCCTTAAAGTAAAATACTATTTTAAGGAATCTTCTTATTATAGGCTAGGGAGCACGTGATTACAATATAAGGGTTATAATACTAGCCTATTACAAGTCGTCAACACCCCTGCCCCAATTGACACCCCCAATCGACACCCGCGGGGTTGGTGGGTGGGTGATCGTTTTAGTTGATCCCGAACGTCCTTATGCTTGCTGATTAGTAACGGCATTAGTCGCTCACGTGAGGCCGTGTTGGTGCAACTATTCTCGATTTCGCCTGTCAGCTTCAATTTCCAACACTGGAATTTGTGATGCTCCTTATCTCCCCTCCTTCTCAGACCCATCGACATTACCAAGGAACCATTGATGGCTGCGAGGACAACCCACGGATGTTGGACATGTAGGATCCGCAAGAAGAAATGTGACGAAGTCCGCCCTTCTTGTGGGCCTTGTGCTTTCAGACAGATTATCTGTTACGGATACGGAGAAAAACCAGGGTTCATGCACAAGGAGGAGGATCAAAGGGCTGAGATTGAAAAGATCCAACGAGCCGTGAATGAGAGTTTGCGTGCCAGAAGAGCCTTCAGAGTTGCCAAGAAGCAAGGTCGCAGCGTCCAACAACGGCCAATTGTCCCCGTTATTGAGAGACAACACGGAACAGGATCAGATACATCGGATTCATTTCAAACTCGGCCCCTTATGAAGACAGAGCCATCTCAACTGCCTCTCGATCAAGGGAGCATTCCAGTTCTGCTCCCTATTCCTGATCCATGGCCCCCCTCTTTCAACAACCCTCAGCAATGGGGCTCCCCAGATAACACAATGACCGTGACCTTGGGAAAGCCACCGGAAAGTACCGTTTCTTACCCCTTTACTTTCCATCCTGATGCACCCCCAGCCGAAAATGCCAACGACCTCGAGATGATTATGAATTATCTAGACAACATATTTCCGCTACAGTATTATTTCTACCAACCGTCAGCGGCCGAGCGGGGAAGAGGCTGGCTTCTGAGTTTGTTGCTACGATCAAAACCGTTGTACTATACGGCATTGGCATTCTCGTCGGTGCAGAGAATCTTTGCCTCACGTGATGATCCTGTGACCGAAAATGGCCTCCTAGAAGAACTCGACTATCAACACTCGCTGATAATGGCCGGCTTGGCACAGCAGCTTGAGGAGCTTCCTCGGTTGCAGGGCCAAGAGCACTTAAAACTTGGCCTTGAGATTCTCGCTTGTACCATACAGTTGCAGTCGATTGAGATATTCCGAAATAAGAAATGGTGGAAAGGGTGGAAGGGTGATTGGGAAGTTCACACCAACGCCGCTGGTGCTTTACTTTCTGTCATCGGGAGCGACCTTGACCCATCCTCATCTTCCGCTGATTCCACCACAAGTGATGAGAGTCCAGAATCTGGGAATACGTTGGGCACTGACGCTACGTCAAGCTTCTTGAGCGAAATTGCTGGTCTGGACTTCTTCATGACGAGCTACGTATGGTCCGACATTATGCGTTACGCCAATGTCGGTCTTAAGCCTCCCATGCAAGACTCATTCTTCTACCTCAACTATCTCGAAGAAGGGAGAATTCAAATGGATCGACTTATGGGTTGCCGAAACTGGGCTATGATTTCATTACGGGAAATCTCGGGCTTAGAAGCGTGGAGGAATGAAATGCTAAATGGTCTAAAGGAACCCGTCCTTAATGGACATGCAAGTGGAATCGACAATCTGATTGTCCCACCCCTGGCCGAGAAGTCAGCGGAAATTGAGGCTCGTTTGAAAAGAGGGCTATCCTCCATCTCGACAAATATGGATGGGTTAACAAAACATGTCCGGGAAACTGAACTTGTGACGAACATCTTCGGCTTATCTGCGATGATATACCTCGCGATTGTTGTTTCCGGGTCCTTTGGCAGATTGCCCGCGGCACAAGAAGATGTTCTCAGAGTTTTATCTGCGATTCAAGCTCTCCCGAAGCACCTTTTGATGAGAGTGTCTTGGCCTTACTGTGTTGCTGGTTGTCTGGCAGAAGACGGTTTCAGAGAAGACTTCAGGCAACTACTATCTGAGACCAGTGCAGAAGGCCACCCAATGGGCCAGTTATGGAATGCGTTGGATTTGATAGAAGATTTCTGGAAAATCCGCAACTCCCTAACTCCCGCACAACACATCGAGTCCCCATGGGCACTTGCAATGGAGAGTACGAAGATGAAAACTTTGCTGATCTGAAATTCATCAAGCAATCGCCATGGTTTGCTCCGGGGGACAGCCCTCCTGGTTTGAACAACGTAAGTCGTCCTGGGTTTAATGTAATGATATTCAATGACAAAAAGATCAGATCAAGAAACATACGCTGCACCTTTTCCTTCCCACAGAGCCGAGAACTTTTGGACCCTAGAATACATCCCCTCAGACCCGGCTATCTTCGAACTGGGCCTTCCCGAAAGTTCCTTGGAGTTCTTCTACCAAAAGTCCCTTCGAAACTATTTCGTCCTTCCGCTCCATCAATTCAGCAACTGACCAATTGACACCCATATATCGACCATTCATGAATTTAGCCTGCTCTGTAGACAGCCACACTGCTACTCCTCCTGCCAAGGCAAAAGTGTCCTTAGAGAACTTGACAAATTGTGGCTTGGTTATTCCAGTAAGAATTGTCCCCGGATGGAGGCTTATTGCCGTGATATTCGGGTTCTCGACCGCCACGAATCTTTGCATCTGGATTTGTACAAGCTTGCTTAATGAGTAGCTTGACGTATGGGGTATGATTGAGATACCGCCAGCGCTGGAGACATTGATGATCGTTGCTGGCTTATTATTACCAACAAGCCTGAGAAAGCTTTGTGTCATGAGTAACGTCCCTTTGACATTTACTTCCTGTTGGGAGTTAGGTCTGCCCCTAAGGCAGCTTCAATGCAAATGTTCCATCACAATTGGGAACATTGGAAAGATCGACCTAGAAAGTATTACTCACGAAGTCGTACCAGAAGTCTTCTGGATTTACATCTTTGATTGGAAGAGCCGATTTCCCAGACCCGGCATTGTTCACCAGCACATCGACAGTGCCATATTCCGATTTAATCTTTGCGAATAAAGCTTGAACCGAATCTTGGTTGCGAACATCGAGAGCTTCAGTCAACACCTTGACCTCTGGGTTGATATTTTTGATCTCTTCACCAGCAGCTTCCACTTCCGATTTATTTCTGGCGACGAGGACAATCGCTTTTGAATTGGCCTTGGCGAAAGCTGGAGCAAAGCCCTGAAGTGGACAATTTAGCTCTGAGTAGTCCAGGTCGAATTGGCTCTTGTTGAACACGCCCAACAAGAAGTCGGATGTTCAGCGCTGGGAAAGGAAAGTTCTTACCTGACGACCGATGCCTTGACTTGTTCCGGTGATCACCACTACTTTCCCTTCTTGTGAGAGTGCTTTTGAAGTAGGATCTACGTCAGAGTACTCGTCACGATAGGTCGTTCTAGTGAACTGGGAGACAGTTACGAAAAAGTCGTCTGGGAGGGCTGCAAAATCCATGATTGTCAGGATATGATAGCACGTTTTTGAGAGGTCTGAGTTTGAGATGAATAAAAGAAGGGGCAAGAGCTCTTATATCTCTGGCACAGCACCGATTCAGTTATGGCCGGGGGAACCGGATCCTAGAGTTGGAAGCGCAAAACGTCCAATAATCTGTTGGACCTTGTCAGAATTTGAAATACTGAGACGCCGACTTTTTAGGGCTTAGAATGCATGCCAGTACAGCAAATCACAACTTATTCTTGATTATTAATCCGCAAGGGGGCTGTCCATTCTCGACTTAAAGCTGCCCTATGTATTGGTTGGTGGCGGCCGCCCTCCGCACTTCGGTTGCGCTAACCACATTCAAACTGATGATGGTTGCTTCTTGCGTGGCCATGCGCTGTGCGCTTCCTATAATCGTTCGGCGCTTCCCGCCTCCAACTAGCTTAGCACGCCTTGTATGTGAGGGCCACCAATACACAAAGCACAGCAATACGCGAAACTGAGATTTTGGTAGCACCTCACCAAAAATTGCCTTTTGAATTCTCATAATGCAACGTATTAAAAAAGTGTCCAATTAGTAGGAATTAATCCCGGGACTAAGATCCTTTCGTCTATTAAATTTGAAGAGCAGAAAATAAAGGCGTTGCTATTTTTGAGCTTGCGCAGTTTTCTTGCACAAATTTATATGCGGCAAATAGGGCAAATTTGTATTATAATAATGCCTTGATTTTTTAGTCTTAAAATTTGCTAAGCTAAATAGTTCACGCATTAGGATTAATCCTTCTTACTTACTTACTTACTATTTTAATATATTGCGTTGTGAGCATTTAAAGGGCGAAAAAGGGATATTTTTGGTAGGGTGGCACCAAAATCTCGGATTTGGGTATTACTGTGCTTTGCATATTAGTGGCCCCACCTACAAGACGTGCTGAGCTAGTTGGAGGTGGGAAGCGCCGAACGAGTAAGCCTAGTTGAGCTGGATTAAGATATAAGTAAGTTCCAAGGGGAACAATCAGCCCCTGCGAAGGCTCTCCTCAATTCTACACGGCTGTGAGGACAATGTGTCTCACGTGATTCTAGCACGAAGCCCTTGCGAGCCACATATCAATAACGCTATTATGAGTCAGCGAACAGGGCTCCAAGGAATTTAAGTTTCGAGGCCGAAGTGAGAGATACGAGACTTCTTTTTCCATGTTAACCTTTGTCTAATGTGTTCGCTGGCCAGTTGACATACTGTATGATACAGGGAGGGTTGAACCCGTCTCTATACAGGCAATACATTGTCGACTCCATATAGCATCTTTTGGAGGCGCAGTGAAACGAAAGAGGGCGGGGATAATGAGCAACCAGCGGCCAAGATGGGATTGTTCTGGTGACACCCAATGACATCGCTCGAGATATGGGGTGCACTATGACGCTACCGCTTATCTGCAAGGATAGGTAATAAAGCTGATTCCCACAGTCTGGGATAGACACATGCGAGTCTCATATATAATACCCACATCTCGCTTCACTCTTAATTCCTTTTTTCCCTTAAACCACTGTTTTTCCCTCGCAAAAATTCTCCTGCTGTCAATGATGTTCGCTTTGAAGTACCTTTTGCTGTACGCGGGGGTAATCGCGGGTTCATCTCAAACCTGGCATGAGAAAGCTGCGAAATATGCAAGGAAGTCGGTCCCACGAATCTCTACAAAGGATGCGCCGCGAGCGGAAACCACTTCGTTGTTCTTGAACAACAGGACAGCCAGTAAGTACAGTTACTTGATGATGTGAGACTGAGACTTGAAAAGATGCTAACTTGGCCAGGTTTTGCTGTCAATGGCAGTGCGCTCCCAGAAGGTAAGGTTGTGATATTTTGCTGTTCCCCTCCAAAGAGCTCGGAGCCCGTGAACTTCGTGGGGGCCGGCATACAGAGTTACTTTGGAAGCTACGTTCAGCTCCTTAGCTTTCCCTGGACCTACAGAAATATTCCATACTAATTATGGCAAAGTGGATTTCTTCATTGGTGAAAGCTATTCAGGAACACTGCCGATCGCTCCAATTCCTTCGAATACGACGGATCCGAATCAATTGTGGTTTTGGTTCTTCCCTTCCAGCAATCCGCTCGCGTCGAACGAGATTGTGATATGGTTGAATGGCGGACCAGGCTGTAGCTCATTGCTTGGATTATTGCAGGAAAATGGTATTTTTATGAGAAAGACTCGAAATTGGAATTCTGACCTAACTCTTTTAGGACCATTTCTATGGCAGCCTGGAACCTACCAACCAATCCAAAATCCGTACAGCTGGACGAATCTCACGAATATGATCTACGTTGACCAACCCGTCAGTACTGGATACTCCCCAGGAAACATAAGTGTGAACAACGAGCACGACGTCACTACTCAATTTATGGGCTTCTGGAAGAATTTCGTGGATACATTCTCTTTGCAAGGATACGATATTTACATCGCCGGCGAGAGCTTCGCTGGTCAATATATACCCTATATCGCCTCTGGTTTCCTGGATGCAAAAGACAAGACTAGTTTCAATCTCAAAGGCATAATGATCTACGATCCAGCCATAAATTCCCTCGATACCCTGAACCAAGGCAAGCAATTAATGCAACACTTCTAATGAGCTCTGCTAACCAAAATAGCTGTCGTTGTTCCCGCTCTTCAATATTTTCGAAATGTGATCCCACTCAACGAGACATTCATGGCGGACATCACAGCAAGAGCGCAGTCCTGCGGGTACACCGATTTCTTCAACAAATACACCACTTCCTTTCCCCCACCGGGACCCATTCCGATACCACCAAATTCCCGCCTCCCAGGCTGTGATTTATATGACGATATTTATAATGCGATTTATTATACGAATCCGTGCTTCAACATTTATCACCTCATTGAATACTGCCCCTACCTCTACGACGAACTTGGTTTCCCCTCTCTCGCCGGCGGCCCAAACAATTATTTCAACCGCAGCGACGTCCAAAAAGCGCTGCATGCCCCGATTGGTACAAACTTCTATGAGTGCGCTGGCGGCCCAAACCTCTTTCCTAATCACGACCAATCCATTCCTTCCGGCCTCGGCCCCCTCCCCTCAGTAATCGAAAGAACAAACAACACCATAATCGGCCACGGCCTCCTCGACTTCATCCTCTTCGCAAACGGCTCCCTGATCACCATCCAAAATATGACCTGGAACGGACACCAGGGCTTCCAATCCCCTCCCTCATCAACCATGAATCTCTTCGTCCCTTATCATCCAAGCTTGAATTACATATTGAGTATTGCGAATGACGCGATCCCGAACACGCCGCCGCAGTATGATACGGCAGGGGCGGGCATGCAGGGCACGTGGCACACGGAGAGGGGGTTGACGTGGGTTACGGTGCCGTTGGCGGGACATGAGATCCCACAGTATACCCCTGGTGTTGCGTATAGGATGTTGGAGTTTTTTTTGGGGAGGATCAAGGATTTGAGTGTGATGGGGAGCTATACGACGCAGGGTGGGAATTTTACTGGGGTGCCGTGATATAAAAGGTGTATGTAATCATGATATTAACGACAAACATTAACTCCCCGTCCCTTTTCATCCGGTTCTGTGATACGTGACTTGGTTGGACTGCAGTGCATGTTCCCGGTCGAATCATTCTTCTCTAAGCTCCTAGAAGAACGAAACCAGTGTGTCTAAAAATTAATCGGATAAATTATTTAATTATGAATATTTATAATAGAATTTGATTAATGTAATACTTATGTAATTTAATTAGATTAGAATAATTAATTAAATTAAATTAATTATAACTATAATAAATTAATCTTTACTTAATAATTATTATATAACTAAGGCACTTATTAAGTAGCCCTAGCTGAACTAAGCTAGAGCTTATATAATAGGAGCTAAATTCTAATTTTTAATAATAATAAACTAGCCATTCTCCTCGGAATCTCGATTTCCCCCCTTTTATTATTGAGCATCGGCTCGCTTACCACGCGTTACTGCCGCTGACCTCCGCTTAGTCTTAAGACACCGAAATCCAGGCCGAAAATCAACATTTTCTATAATTAACTTCTATAACAATAACAATTAAATTTTTACAATTTTATAAAAGTTAATTCTATAAATTGCGCATTAAGTAATATTAATTTTTAAGGGAACTAGAGTGTACTAGCTATTAGAGAAATTAATTAGGGGTTTGACTTTTAGGCTAGATTTGCTAACAAATTTGGCAGGTAATAAATTAATGGCTATTAATCTAATCTAATTTATTTATTTAATATATTAGACAAAACTCTCTAATTATTACTGCTTTTATTAGGGATAAAAATATGTATTACAAGAAGTTCTTTTAAGCAAATCTTCGTAGTCTTTTGCCCCAAACATCCTGGGCACACCTCAAACCCATAGTAACTGGTAAGGTTTTGGTTTAGTTCATAACTCGATGTTTATATATTATTGAACTAAATAAGTCTCCGTTCCTGAAAGGTCTACTTAATGATTTCGAAAATGAAGCGCCCCACTCTTGATACCCCAAGAGCCTTTCTTGCTATGGAGTCCCGTGAAAATCGTCTTCAGCTGGCTTGGCTATGTAAACGCAATTTTTCTCCATCCATCCTTATTCCCCTTTTCATTTTCATTTTCATTTTCATTTTCATTTCCACGCCGTCTTAATTTTCCAAAGGGGGCGCACTGAGAAAAGAACTGTACATTTTAGAATCTCGGAAGTTATCCAGGGTGCTCAAAGCACACTCTGGAGTCTGCCCCCCCCTATCACCAAGCTGTGCAGTTCCCTGTCATTTACCGCCAATATACACAATATTTTCCTCTGAAATTTAACTTACCGGAGTAGTATAAACATAGCATCAACGAAAACTTTCCACTCTCTTGGCGACAGTGGATGACCCGCCTGCATGGGAGAGAGCTTGGACTTCGATCGAAGCTGTCATTCTTTTGAAAAAGTCCCCAATCAAGCTTTTCGGCTTATCGCAACTCCCCAAACACTCCACTACGGCTTTGAGATTGTCGAAGAGCACGCCTGTGTGTGACAAGCTGATGTCCATAACTTCTACATAATCATTGGCAACTAGACAGAGGGTCGGCAGCCAGTCACATATGAAGCCCACCCCCTGCAGAGATGATACAACGTTATCGAAGTGTGACACAGCCAGGAGGGTCCGCTCCGCTACTTCCAGCAATTCTTTGGAGAGGGTATTCTAAGGTAAAATACCACCAGCGGGTCCATCGAAAACAGCAACGACGGTTCTGTCCCTAGGATGGATGCGTGTGTGCTGTCTCATTTCATGCATCCAAAGCTCGTGGAGGGTATCGTCATCTAAGGACCTCGAGCCATGGTCGTGACGCATTGGGATATAGCCTGCCATACCAAGTAGCAACTCAGTTGTTGGATGGACGGGCATTACCCTTTGAACGCACCAAGCAAGGGATTGGAGGGATGTTTCTCTGGCTCTTAAGCTTGCTTGTTGAGGAAATCAATCTTCCTAATATTGATATTGGGTCCACAACCCAAAGAGTGATGAGGATAAGAAGGCGTAAGAGGTTTCGCGGGTAGATGTGGACCAGTGAAGAAGAATTTAGCGTAAGCAGGTCGAAGAACGCAAGGAACATCATATTTGTTGTTGGCCAAGAGATCTGCCAAATCGCTAGTCGTGCATCCCACTGTGTCATGATACTCTTCTGTCTGGTGAAACTTGGCGCCCAGACCTCCTCCTTTAGATTCCTTTAATATATCAAGGACCTCATGGCGTTCGTCATTGCGCTGCCTAGAAAACTCTTGCAGCTGTTCCAGGGAGGCAGAATTCGATGGCAAAGTTGCTGGCTGTTGTAGAATTTTCCGCAGTAATGTATCGAAATTATCTTCAGGCACCATTATGCCGATATTCTGCATCTATTGCAGCGGTGTTGAGGAAACCCGAGATCGAAACTCGGCCCTTGATACGCACTAGAAGTAAAGCAGCGTAGCTTTGAAAGCTGAACACGGTGATGGAAGGTGAGAGCCGTCGCTATATGATCAGGCCTGGGAGAGTCAATTGTCGCTTCTCACAATCGACGAATTAACATCTCAGCCACCCAGGCCGACAACTGGGCTTCCAGCAGGTGCATCCAATAACTGAGTTTGATTTGCAACGAGGCACGCATGCTTGAGATGAAAATTGCCTGGCGCGCAGGAAAAAGGCAGGAAAAAGGCAGTCTCAAAAGCTTGCAAGGAAAGCACCAGCGAGCCAAAAACTACACGATAAAAGAAAGCACTTGCCACGACAAGAATACACAGAGGTTAAAAGAAGCGGTGATCGGCTGGAAGCTCGAATCTTTAGGGTCAAATGGTGATTAGATAATTGGTATATGGTCCGGACGCCGCGTTTTGCAGTACAAAGAAGATACTGCACAGCTGGCTGGCGTCCCCTTTGGCTTCAGGGGAATTTACATCGCTCCCTTCCCAAGATCAACAGCACCGTTGAGAGCAGGGCACTGCGCATCGGAGGTACTGGGCGCTACGAAACTGGCGGAAGTCTGGCTGTTATATCCTAGACGGACGAGAGTGGCAGCTACGCATTGTTAGCGCATTCCCGATTCTCAACTGTCTGAATTCTGCATACCACTCGAGTTCTTGTACGTTGGCCAACCTAATTTACTCAGACCACTGGTTGGGTTACTTGCAAAAGCAGCCCAGGATTTCATGAAGTAAGCGATCGTTGCGGTTTCTACTGCGCTGTTGGGAAGCCCCGATACATCTTGAGCTGTTCCGAAGACCATGTCGAGCTCTGCACCGTGGTAGGTACCACTTCCTGGATAGAGCTGCAAGTTTGCAAAGTCACCGAAATACCTGTAACGCCAGACTGGAACGCCTTTGGCTACACGGGCAGCGGCTTCGATTGCTGTGGAGCAGGTGAATGCCTCGAGATCAAATAGGTTTTGTTGGGTGGCGTTGAAACTCTTCCCAGTTGCAAATGCTGCGATGTCATAGAAGCCAGACTCGTGGTTGTTATTGCCAATAAGCAGAGGCTAAGGTTACCTTAGATTAGAAGTTTACAGAGAAATTCAGGGGTTCTGTCACTTACCAGCTTTGCGAATTTTCCGGCTGCGGCGAGAGCGCTGTAATCGTAAAAGACTGTAATATTGTCTTCAACGGGTTGGAATTGTGGTTGGTTCAGTGCGGCTGTGGGATCGACAGGCACTTTTGCAAAGGCGGCAAGCACAGATGACACGTTCTTCGATTGCATGCAGCTCAGAACATTCCCTGATGTCCCACATCCAAGAGTCGAGGAGGCATTGTACCAATGTTGTGCCCCCAGAGCCGGGCTCAGCGGAGTCCAGCTGTGAGGAGTACCAGATTCCATTATGTAACCAGCAACAATGGGGTCATTGGGGTAGGCGTAAGCCTGGTATGCGATGGAAACAGAGCCTGCAGACTGTCCGAAAGCAGTGATGCGGTTGCAATCGCCTCCAAAAGCCGCAATGTTGTCGCGGACCCATTCGAGTGCCATACGCTGATCCAATAAACCAACATTTTGCTGGATTCCAGGAGCTCCAGGGAATCCCAAGATGTTGAGACGATAGCTAGGGCGTGTTAGCCTAAAAGAGGTTAGTCGACAGATTTGGGTACACACTTGAAGGTGACCACAATCACGTCTTCTGCAGCCGCGAGATATTGGCCATTGTAGAATAAGCTCTTGGCGCCTCCGATATTCCACCCTACACATGTGATCAGTCTCGAACCGTCAGAATGGACATCTTTTCAGGAGCTTACTTCCACCATGAACGAACACCAGCACCGGTTTTGATGCACCTGCTTTTGGCGTTCCTTTAACCCAGATGTTCGCACTCAAACAATCCTCAGATTGAAAGTTTCCGCCTTGAGTGGTGAAGGCCAGAAAGATGCGGTCAAATTGAGCTGTCTTGTTGGGAAAGGCAACGGTGCCACCAATATTGCCGGGACAGCTCCTTTTCTAGATGTCAGCCCTTAACTCCGTGTCATTTCATTCAATTTCAATGTCAGAGGGGAGCATACGGGCCCTGCAGACCAGTTAGCATTTGCATTTTGAGACTCAGCAATCTCGGAGGCTCACATAAGTTGCTGCGGTAAACGTCTTCTTGGATGTGAACCGCTGCGGTGGCATCCATCTTTGGCTTCCACTTGTCGACGCAGCGTACGGAATGCCCAGGAATTCAGTCACCCCCGTCTTGTTCACCGCAGCATGTCCAACTATGACACCGCTGGTCGTAGATACACTTGAAGCAGCAACAGCGGTATCTCTACTCTCCACAAATGGAGACGCTTGCGTAAGGAGCGGAAGCAACAACGCTCCAACGGCAAGAGTAACCCTCATGATAGTGACAATTGACTTGAAAGGACAGTAAAGAAGCACGAGAGTCGACCATCAGATGGAGGGAAGCCACAGATTATAGCAAATATAAATCGAAGCTTCCGCCGAGCTCTGACATGATGGCGGCCCATACGTCTGTCAGATTGCAAATATTGGAATTCCAGAGGCTTGGATCCTCCGAAGTCCATGGGTAATCTGCAAGGGTTGGGATGGTAAGTGGGGGATTGGCCTTTTTGGAGACAATGGTCCCCTCAGAACGTGGCTTCCGCGTCCCCATGCTATCGCCAAGCTGGCGGACAAGTTGCCCTTGGATGTAAATTTACTGAGGATTGGGGTTCGGGTTCGACAGACTTAGCGGAGGTGCGTTGGTAGGCAGCTCGGCTGGATCGCTGGTGAGGAAGGTTGCACCCGCGAATGGTGGGGAGGGGGGGACCTGGGATCATGGGATGGGAAACGAAACAGCTGGACTGGGGGTGAAATTGGAATAATTGGCAGAGATGGGAGGGTCCGAGGGAGGAGAGGAGAGAGGAGAGAGGGGTGCTTCGGCGGTGAGGCCTTGAAAGAGCTCGATCCCCGCGTCAGCACGCAAGATTTTGATTCGTGATATGTGAAGGTCGTTGTGGTGCGGCGGGAGAGAAGCAGGAACCAAGACAATCATCAGCCAGAGGCCCAAAAGCTCGGGTCGCTCCTGGAGGCTGGAGCCAGCCCCCTTTCGACGCCACCATTCCGACACATGGAGCATCGCATGCAGTACTCCGTACTCCGTACAGTGCGTGATTACTCTTCTCCACTTCCACGCATCACCTCTCCATCCGCCGTTCCGCAGCGCGCACGTTGTCGGGCAAAGACATCCATCCCCACTCCTCATCCCCAAATTTGTGCTCCGTCACTGTCACTGTCACTGTCTCTGTCTCTATCTCTGTCGCTTTGTCGCTGCATCGAACGGGGACGCTCGAGGGACGGAGGAAGTGGCATGGCGCGACGTCGCCTCTGATCCCTCCATCTGACGATCGCCAACCTCCAGAGCGCCAAGCGCCTCTACCGCCGGCCCGCCAAGTGTGTCACTGTGTGTCACTGTGTGTGGATTCATCCGGGCAAAATTGGCGGTGGAGACTGACGCTTGCTGTTGCTCTTCAGCGGAGCAAGCCCACTTCCAACGAGGTCGCTGCGGCCTGCATCTCCCATCTCCTTTTGACAGTGGCGGAAGAAAAGCGACAATGCAATGAATGAATGAGCCTCCGTGATTGTTTGGGGGTCTTCGTTGTCCTCGAAACAACCGTACAACGTATTCGTCAAGATGACCATTATCTCTCGTCCCCGTCAGCGATAATGCCCTGCCCGGTCTCGGCTTCTTGGGCCGAGATCTCCCTCCAATAATGGCTGGCCTCGAGGCGTGAGAAATCCGCCCAACATCCAGGCAGGGGTTTCCAGAGGGACTTGCCCTTCTGGTCGTTCCCCCGATCGCAATGGCATGGCAGTCTGGCAGACCGTTCCAAGTTCCCTTTGGCATGGAAAGACAGTTCCGGCAGTGCCGCACACAAGACCTTGTCAATGTGATACGCCGCAAGGAGCCTTGCAGATGGTATACTGTACTTCGTAGAGGTACATAAGAATGCGGTGTCTTACCACGCAGCTTCGTTGGTCAGTCACACTGTTCCCTATACGTCTGCTCTGAAATATTCGACTTGATTCGTTTCTTGTGTGGCCTGATCCAATGTCTCGAATGATGAACGTTTTGATGAGGTCGTTACCTCTTGTCGAGCCGCTGAAGCCCGGGGAGGCTCCTCAGAGAGGCACGACGCTCTATATCATATCCGTAGCGATGGTTGTTGTTGCTGGGCTTTTCGTCGCGGCTCGAATCAGCGTCAGGTTATCGAAGTTGACGACAAGTCAAGGACTTGGGCAAGATGATTATTGCGTGATTGCTTCTTTGGTGACCCTCCTTCTTGCCATGACTCTGAACAGGGCTCATGGGTCTCCTAGATTTCATCAGTTGGACTGTCTGTCACAGAGATAGAAGCAACTGTGCACGGCTATGGGAATCATCTGAATGGTCTCACAAAGCCTCAAATCCAGGAGGCACTTGAGGTAAGTCATCCGATCATCCATTTCTACATGGTACCCCACGTAGATCATACTGACAATTGAGTTAGTGGGTAAGCTTTGGTCTCATACAAACTTGTGCATTTCTCTATCAGAGCTGAGAGCACCAGAGCTGTCTCGGGAGTTCCCATGGCTCGTTCGACCTTCGACACCAAGACAGCTCCAATGCTCTCAGCTGTGCACATCGCATTCGACTCGACTCGACTCCGCTAAATCACTGCAGTTTTACGTCGCCCAAATAATGTATAAAGTGGTTATCACGTTCAATAAGATGGTAAGCTAAGCATCATTTTTAACTTCATATCTCCCTCCGTCAGATGCAACATCGAAATTGACCGTACATGACAACATTTCAACCCCAAACTCTTCCAGCCCGGCAATGCTAATACCGGGATTCCGATAGGCGCTTCTCTTGTTCTACCTTCGAGTCTTTCCTCAGCAAAAGTTCCGAGCCCTCTGCTTCGCTGGTCTGGCCTTCGTGGGTTGTTCTGGCTTCGCCTATATCGTTGCGACCATCTTTCAATGCAACCCAGTACCATTTTACTGGAATCGGACAATCCATGGGGGCCATTGCATCCAGAGTGCTCCATTCTGGATCTCTTATGCAGTGATCAACATCGCGACGGATTTCTATATCTTGTGTTTGCCGATGCCTATCCTTTACTCGCTGTCGCTGTCGAAGAAGGACAAGTATGGTGTTATGGGATGCTTTGCGCTTGGATTCTTGTGCGCCACCCCTCAATTGTTCATGATGCTGTCACTGACAATATCAGCGTCTGCTTCACAACGATCTACCGAATGACAACTCTGGCATCATCAAGCAAAGGAACAGATTTAACATGTAAGTTTCAAATCCACTACCACATGAAACAAGTCATAACGATCAAAACAGATGGCCCCGTTCCAGCGACGAACTGGTCCGTGATCGAAGCCAACACCGGTCTCATCTGCACCTGCCTCCCCATGCTAAACCAATACATCAAAGTCTTCACCGGTTTCTTCAGCCGGTCCTCAGCAAACACCTCGTCCGTACGCCCAGGCAACACTCCGCGCTCCGGCAAGTTCGGCATCGGCCTCTACAATATTTCCGCGAAGTCAAACAAGGACGAGATATTTGGGACCGGAAGGCAATGGGGTGCAGTCGATAGCACAGTGGAGAGCAGGCGTGATATGTTGAGGACGGAAAGTCAGGAAAATATGGTGGGCGATAAGAAAATTCATCGGAAGGTGGACGTGGAGATGTGGCATACAGACGGGAGGTCGGATGAGAGTTTGAAGATATGAGATGTAAGATTATATGTTGAATTGTCGATGATACCCATGTAGAGTTATGACTGAAATGGAAACTCATGACCGCCTCTGGCTTGATATCATCTGAAGCAGACCATCAAGTGACACCAAATTCACAATTGGCAACGGAAATTGAAAAGCCAGTGGAGAGTCATGCCATTTCATTCATTCAGTACTCTCATCTCAATTCACTCAAACTTCCCATCATCCCCACGACTCCGTCCCCGGCCCCGATTCCAAGCCCTCCTCCTCGCCGCCCTCGACAACCCCCCCGTCCTCACCCTCTTCAATCTCTTCGCTCTGGCCTATTGTCATTATCAGTCTCGCAATCATCAACAACGGGATGAAAGGAAAGGGGAACACTCACCGCCTTCAACGCCTCCGCCACCCACTCCCGCCCTCCCTCCTCCCACTCCTCCAGAGTGAACACGGCCGTCTGCCCTCCTCTCCGCTTGACCACGTGGGTCCTGGTACCGTCTTCTGTCTCCCACCAGACCGGGATCGCTGGCTGTTATCCGGTCGTTAGCCTCTCCCGTCCCAACAAGAAAGGAGAAGGGAGAAGGAGACGTACCTCTCCTAAGTCCAGGTCCGGGATCGCGAGCCTATCTCCAAACTCCAAGCCCGGGAAGTACGGGTAGTCGATCTCTGGTGGTGAGCGTGCTTGGCGGCGGGGTGGCGAGAGGGGTGGGATGAGAGGGAGGCGAGAGGCGCGGGTGTTGTGCTTGTGTTTTGGCATTGTGGTGATTTTCGTCGAATGTGTGTGTGTATGATTGAGTGTTTGGATGAGAGGTTTGTGATGTGATGAGTACAGACTGAGTGTTTGTGAGAGTATGCGTGCTGGAGAGAAAAGGAAAGAAGGGAAAGATGGAGGGAAAGAAAGAGTATATAGTTGAGAGGAGACATTTGTGTATTTGTTGCTATGAGTATTGTTGTCGGGTATTGTGAGGATACAATAGGGGAAGGTATTGTTGGGACAATAGAAAAAGGGGTAAATGTTAAGCGAGGGGGGCGGTAAAAGGAGTTTGACGTATGTGCAAACTGCACATTGGGATGGGTGAATAGTAAGATAGAAATAGATGGTTTGTCGCCGATGCAAATAGAATTCTCGGAAGATATTCTCGACACCTTTGAGAGCGTGGGACTGGGAGAGCGATTCTCCGTGTGATGAGGAATAGGGCCTCACTCCCCCACGTATATTGTCTCCGTACTGTATACACTTCTATGATTCGAATAAAGCCAAATCATAGAAGATACAATTATCTCCTATCAGGAAAAATGACCATGCCACAACAGAGCGCGATACAATGTATGAGGTCAAGCCTGATGAGAGGCAATGAAGTACTTTCATTTCTTGCCCTACCCGGAAACGTGTATAAAAGGAGTGTACTACGAAGTGAAGAAAGGGAACACACAACGTGTCTACTTCACTGTCCCACTTGCCAAACTACCCCTTTGGGACAAGCCCATTCTACTTTCATTTCCAGCCACCATTTTCGGCCTCATTTCCCTCTTCTACCAGCGATCGTTCACGCCCCCTAAGTGACTGTTGCACAAAAGTTGTGTCCCCTCGCAGTGCAGTAACTCTCATATCCATACGATTAACTAATAGCAGGCGTGACATCATTTCTCCTGGCGGAGCCTGGTTTATACTGGCTGCAATTCTGGGTGATGCGCGCCGAAGCCGATTGACGATCCGAAGCACAACGAGACCGATCATCCCATCCGAAATTGTCAAAGTGTGCAACGACGCATTCGCTGATGGAGTAGAAGTCATAGCCTGAGCGGACGTTTGTGCCGCCGCCACAATGGGCAGCGAGTTAGCGGGGCCCCGTAAAATGCAAGAAGGGGTGGAGCGAGCGGAATGCTGAGGAGTTGTATTGCTCAGAGGATGTATGGACAGGTGCAAGGAAGCATGACGGTTCCTGAGGGAACAGCTCCTGATTCTCTGCTCTCAAAGAAAGGAGAGAAGAGCGTATTATTGTGAGCGTAAGAAAGGATTACTTGCGCGTCAAGGGCGGCGTTCGTAGTATCGCAAGTGCGGTGATCGAGGTCCTCGGTTCCTTCCTCAGGGTAACAAGAAATCAAGTCCAATCCGTGTTCTGACTTTTCACTCTGGAGGAGGAACTACCGAGCAGCGAGAAGCGCCCGAGGGCATGGGCATCTGCCAAGTCGCCGATTCAGATGTGCACCTCGATCCCGTTTTCGTAGCTGAGGACGGAATATACACCGTCTGCTGCGTTCTCGGGAATGTGGAAATTGGATATGCAAGATGTGCTAAGCAGGACAGAGACGAGGGGCGAAAAATGCATGGTGATGTTTTGAAAGAGGATGAAATAGTTTTGAGATGTTGGTCTTGTGCTAAAGGATGGTACCTATGAAGAGGTGATTGATTTGAAGAGGACACTACCCATTTTCAAGGAGATCAAGAGCCCTTTATATGCATTGGGAGAAAACTGAAGTAAATGCCTCGTAGAGGTCTTGCTTTTTGCAATATATCAGGTGGCACGGCTACATTTGTTACACATAACTTTAAAGCTTTTGTTGCAATATACTAAGAGGGATTGTGCTAGGAGAAAACGATGACGATTCGAAAGGGGAAAGTGAACTTTGATGCTGCTTCACAACCTGCATCCATGAGTAGTGTCAGGGCGAGGTAGCCGGGGTCGAGAATAAGCATTGAACTTTTTTGATGCTCTGGGTTATAGAAAGCTCTGCGAGCGCTCTTCTCGTGGAGAAATGGCAACGATCGATAGGCCAGGTCGGGTTCCTATAATTTCTTCACATGACTTGAGAGCTGAATAAGATTAAGCTGAAGTCCATGGCTCCTGGGCGGAGTCTTTGCCGCTCGCATATATGTTGAGTTCCCTCACCCTCTTAATTGGATGTACAGAGCAATCTTGGCTTTGTTCAACCCGTTTAAGAAGGTTATTTGTAGGGTTGCGGCGATGGGAGGGCAGGCTCGGCAACGATTGCTGAGCAATCGATTAGTAATCGATTGTGTGCACTATTGATTAGCTATCGATTGTAATCGATTAGTAATCGATTACTAAACGATTATTACCCCGCACCCCACGAAAGCTAAGCACTAAATTTTTAGTACCTATAGCCTATAATTTAGCGATAAGCAGCCTATAATTATAGGGTTCCCTTTTCCTCGCGACCTACAAGCCTCGAAGCTCACTTCTCACTTTCTCTCTCCACCTATTGCTTTTTACTTTTATATACTTGCCCTCTTAACCCCTCCCCCATTAAAAGTTGCCAAGCTTATGGGCCTAAGGCAGCCAGCGTATGGGAGGGCTAGTGGGAGACTAGTGGATTTGTACTATTAAGGGGCCTTTCCCCGCCTTTAATAATGAGAACCAAGGCTTTTAACTACTTGAATTTAATATCCCCAAATCCCCCCTTTTACTTTTATACTTTTATATATATAGAGAGAGTAAATATTTTAAGTAATAGTAAATGCTGAAAGAAAAGGAAGGAGGGGCAGTAATATGTGAGTGCGGCCGATTTTTGGTAAGGTAAATCGTAATAGATCCCCTTACTAGTATGGACTATATCTTACCGGATACAGGAATAGCTATTAATATCATCTCAATAGTGCTAATGAGCGATAAGCCAGAGGGAGTCTTTTCAGGGGCTTGTCGTACGGTAAGCTACCTAGAATAGGGGGCAGCTTGAAACCGAGACAAGATGCAGGAGTACCTTAAGTACTAGAAAAGAAGCAGAGTTCTAGATACTTTCTTTAAATAAGTAAATAAGAAAGAGCCTTACCTTTATTATATATAGTATAGTACTCTACTAAACTCCTGGATCTTCTGGCATTAGAAAAGGGGTAAAATCATACGTATATAGGGATTAGCTCGCTAAACAATCGATTGCACTATCAATACAATCGATACCTTACGATTATGGCATCGATTGTTATCGATAGTGCAAAACGCCAATCGTTGCCGAGCCTGTGGGAGGGCAGAAAGCCGCACGCTTATCAAGAGTATCAAGAGTATTGTGCCGTCTACACGCAAAATACGCTCTAGCGTTCAACCCCGTGGACTGTTTCTTTGGGAGCTAATCATTGAAAAATTTGCATTTGCCCTTGGTCAAATATCCTCTGCCATCTCAACCTGGAAGGTCGATATCAAGTCCACCCAAAGAAACATAAGAGGCACTACAGCGGGTTTGATATTGGAGCAAAGCGTTTGAATGAACGGGAAGCGGAGTGGACGAAAGTCGATTTCAATTTTGAGAAGAACTTTGCATTGTGACGAACCCGCCGTTCCCAGAGATGACACGAGACCGCAGAAAGGCAACCGAGGAATTTCTGTTGTCAACGTCCACTTCATTGTCATATATTTCTTCCGTCTGTGACTTCGGGTCCAAGCACAGGGAGCAACAGCTAGAGAGGCTGGCAAGAACCGTTGGTGCAGATTGCTTGAAGCCGCCAGTTAATATTGCCAATGCGTTGGGTGAGGCTCATTGCCAACCTTCCACTGAAACTGCCCTGGAAGAACTTTGAATTACGCGGAGCACTCGCAAAGCATCTTTTCATCGGATTTGATATCTTTGTCTTGGGACTGACCCGAGGCAATCCCCGTTGCGAAGGAGTCTCAACGAGACCAGTGAATTCGATCTCAACTCTCGCAGAAAAACTGGCAACTTGCCGTCACCAGCCCAATCTTGAAAGTCAGCAACTAGCTGGCCCGGCTTCTTCCACCTTACCCTTCAACATTCAATGCTTCATATCAACTGAATGTATGCAATCCAACGCCAGCCCGTCCCACAGAAGCAGGGAGTAGGTCGGAAGCCTCGTCTCATCACTGAGCAATTGCATTCAATTTCAGCACATCTTCGGCACAACCAACAGTCATTGAAAAGACCGAATTGCAATTTGACATCCGTGCTATTTCTCCGTCCATCCTCTCCAGGAAGCCCCCCAATTTTCATTTGCAAAGTGTATGAGATGGCGAAAGGGGCAAAAGAGGTTAGCAAACTATTCCCATTATCTGCATCATCTGCATTGCCGCAATTAATTTCATCTCTTAACCTAGACACGTAATATAATACATCCCTCCCAAGACCACCAAAAGAGCCAAGTCATTTTGGAAGGAATGCCGATTCAACTCTTGTGGACAAATTCAAATTAGGTATAAAGAAGCGCATGCACGGAAGGATGGAAACAAGATTACAACTCCCCATGATCATGCTGGTCGACGATGGTTTGTGGGCCTTCGCTGCCATTGTCCAATTTAGGAAAGATCATGCCTTTCTTGATCTCGTTGAAGGCCACATCGAAGCGCGCTCCTGCGAGGTATGCGGCTCCAATCTGGATGATGTTAGTGATGAGGGGTTTTGAAGGAGGGGGGATCCGTACCATCAATGCTGAGATCACCAAGAGGGTTCCCACAACGGCAAGTAGGAGGAAGAATACATCCTTCTTTGCTTCTGAATCCTGGGCCTTCTTCTTCTCGACGTCGGGGTCGATTTCGCCTGCGTGAATCAAAGAGAGCTTCTTCGGATCTTGTGTTGGGTAGATGGACTCGATGAATTGCTCGATCTGTCAAGGTCAGTGATGTCTCTGAATATAGAGATATTGGCATACCTTTGCGCACGCAATGCTGATCTCGAGGTAGTTTGGGTCCTTGGGAGTATTCTTCTTGTGTATTCTTCGAGTATACTTCTTGAAGATTTCACAGACAGTTCGGAGATTGGTGGAAGAGTCCATCATCAATTGGCACGCATCACCTTTAGTGATCTTGACGTTCTTCTTGTACACTTCGGGATTTCGGAAGACGAGTTCAAGTGTTGCAATGGCCATGGATTGAGGAATAGCGACGAAGTTGAAAACACTTTGATCTTTAATGCCAGCCATGTAGAATAAACATTCATCGGCATGTCGTAGAGCATTGAGAACCATCTCGGAGCTGCAGTTTAGAGCAACATCGATATTCTTTGGGTCGAATAAGTCCTCGAATTTGTCGACGTGTTTCGACCAGATTTCTTTTGGATAGAAGCGTCGCCTGTCATCCAAATCTTCCTTGATATCACGAATGATATTTGTCTTCTGGAGGAATTGACCCATTGACTCGGCAAGCTCGGGACGTTTGAGGAGCGCTGGGTTCGCAAGCTTACTCTCTACGAATAACCTCGTCAAGCCATCACCAACCAAGCCTGCAACGTAATGGCAGTATAATTCGTAATCTTTGATGGTATTGACACCATTGACGTTGTGCTCGGCGTTGTTCGCATAATCCGCCATGCCATTGCCCATCTTGTCCGTGATATCGGCGATAATAGCTTTGTACTGGGGTTTGACCAGCTTATACTCAGTGATCACCACATCGAAATGTACGAGAAGTTCCCGGTCCTTCTCGGTGGGCGCATTCCCATCGAATGTCCAGCCATCCTTCTCCAGGATATGTTGGAAATTCCTCAAAAGGGGCTCCTTTGTCTCCAGCGGAATTGTCATGTCATCCTCGATCGTATCAAGACCTCGCAGAATCAGGTAGAACAACGCAACTGGGACGAGCAATTCGGGGTTCAGTTCTTGGATGACCGCGCTGAAACTTCGGCTAGTCATGTTGAGATATTTGAAGCATTCTTGCAGGGTGGCAGACTCCTTCTTCGGGTCTCGAGTGTGAACGGGGTCGTGCCATATTTTCCTGTGAAGAACATTAGCATACGTAGCACAAGATGGCCTATTCGATGCCCACCATTGCAAGATTGATCTCAGTTGGTTGGGGTGGACTGAGAAATACAGAAGTTGCCTAAGGAGACCCATTGCGGCGGGTGAACAAGTGTGATGTTGGTCGGGAGGAAGCTGTGTGGGTTAGGGGAGGTGTCGAGGATGGGGGACGAGGTTTTTGATGTGAGTGGAGCAGCTATATCATCGCCGAAGACAGCTTTCAGATAAATGCCAGAGATGTGTCGGTAAGGAGTTCCGGGCCGGGGGAGATGCAGATTAGTTTTCTAATCTCTCGAGATTATCCTTTCTTGCGCTGGGGGCTCACCCGCAGTGTCGGATTTCTGCACCGCGCTCGTCTCCTCTCTCCTGCAGAACCCTGGAATTAGTCGCACCAATCAGGGAAAGGCCGGCTGCGCCACATCTTCACACTGCCAGCCTCGCATTGGAAACCAGTAGTGGCACATTCATCTACCAGCATTTCACGATTCCATCAGCACTTGGTCTCAGGTCCAAGGATCACGATCAGCAGCCACCTTCTACTGTAGAAGACAACGCAAAGAGCACCTCTCATTACAGCCATGTAATCGCCACGATTTGCGCGATCGACATTAGTCTCCATGTCCTTGGAAGGGGGTACAAGAAATACCGAGGTTTCGTGTGATGAGGGCTTCAACCTCGACATTTCCACCTCAAACAACCACAACTGCGCATACGATGAGGGATCAAGCATATAAAGATGTCGAGATGGCCAAGGAGAAGCTGATGAGGGGAGAAATTCCTTCACGGGATGCTTCTCAAGGGCGGAAGGCATTGGGGAAGCAGTTGATTGACGGGAGTTGCATTCTGCTCAACATTGCAAGCACGGTGACGCTTGTCTTCTTAAACAAATGGCATGTCTTCGAAGATGGTGGATTAGAAAGCATTTACTAACTGTGTCTGTCTAGGATTTTTAAGGACCCTCAATTGAAGCATGCCCAGGTATCCTTTGCGATGTGGCATTTCACATGCACTTCAATTGTCCTATGGATTGCAAGCCGACGACCCTTCAATTTGTTTGTGCCCGTTCGACTACCTTTCCTACAGATGATACCACTGTGCAGCTTCTTTGCAGGATTTCTGATACTTGGAAATTTAAGCTTGGCGTATAACTCCGTTGGATTTTACCAGTTTGTCGCGCCGCTCTTGCCAGTTACGATATTGGGCTGACACTCTCACAGGCTTGCAAAAATATTGACCACTCCTTGTGTCGCCCTTCTCCAGTACTTGTACCTTGGGAAATCGGTCACTCTTCTCACCATCGGCGCTCTGGCTAGCGTTTGCATAGGTGTAGGAGTAACCAACACCGGAGCAACTGGGACAACAGCGCAAGGAGCTTCAATCGCAACTGCAGCCTTTGTAGTGACTAGTTTTTACCAAGTGTGGATTGGAAAGAAGATGAAGGATTTCTCGGTGTCTAGTCCACAATTGCTGTTGAATCAAGCGCCGATATCTGTGTTACTATTGGCACTTTTAGTCCCATTTTTTGACACAGTGCCTGATGTTGGGGATATTCCAAGTGATACTTTGGTGGCCCTGTTTTTGTCTGGCCTTGCTGCTGCTTCACTGGTAAGCTTTCATCCTATATTGCTGAGATTTCCGAACTAATTGTCATTAGAACCTTTCACAATTCCTGATAATCGGACGAATGAGCGCACTGACATTCAACGTCGCCTCCAAGTAAGTCTCCTCTCTTGCCCAATAGGTAGGCCAAGACCACAATCTGATACTTCGCAGCGTCAAAACAATAATCATCCTTTCGTATGGGTGGATCAGTGAAGGACGATCCCTGACGATGAAGGATTCGTTGGGTATTGTACTGGCACTTGGCGGTGCTACAGTCTACAGCCAGCTCTCTCAGAAATGAGCGGCCGATTTGTATATGGAATCATGAATATATAGACGAATATAGGTAGGGACGGAAGAAATGAATGTGTACACGTAGGATTAGATGGAAAAAAACCCCGATCATTCTATTCGCAACAATTCTTCACGGACCTCTCCTCGCCAAAATGTTATATTGTGAGTACACCACGGGTCTGATATCACTTGGTGCTAGGTCCAAAACATCATGTTGAAGATAAGGAATATGTTTTAAAACAATTGCTCGCTTGCGGAGTTGACTATGAAAAATGCTGGGAAACTGACTTCTTGACTAAGTTTTAAAATAGGTTAATGAATAACATTCGGAATCTAGTGGTCTCGGATATTTTCCTTGCCTCCAATACTCGGACAGAATCACGACGTTTCTCAACTCATCGCCCCCCTTTTCTTCGGCAAACCCCTGCATTTTTAGGAGGCGCCCTCTCTGACCGCCTTTCTGAATTGCCTCGCCAAGACCTCCTGGACCCCTCCACATTATCGAGGATGCCGATAGAGAACAAAAGTTGGGAAACTGTTGACTTTCAGGTAACTCAAACTTTTAGACAGATCAAAATAGAAGTTGAAAAGCGTGTTCGAGTGTAAATGCAACCTTTAATACAAGGTGGATTATTATTCGAAACTGCGTGCGTATTCACATTCGTAACTGGCTAGGTCGATGTGTCGGTCCCTTGCATTATAAATCCCACCTCTTCTGCACCACCCTCCAAACTTTGACTTTGTCTTCACCGACACCAACACTCATTTCTCCGCAACCAACAAACGCCAAACACTAAACAAAACCCTTCGCAGATTAAACGATATGGCTTCCAAGAATGTTTTCCTAATATGGGGCGGCGAAGGCTGGGTTGCTGGACACTTGAAGACTCTCCTCGAGAGCCAAGGTCAGCCGCATTTTGGCCACCAAAATTGACATTGAAGCTTACAATTGCACAGGAAAGGAAGTCCACACCACGACAGTTCGCATGCAAAATCGAGAAGGTGTCATCGCGGAGCTGGAGAAAGTCAAGCCTACACACGTCCTGAACGCTGCTGGTTCAACTGGACGACCGAATGTCGATTGGTGCGAGGATCACAGGGAGGAGACTATCCGAAACAATGTTATCGGTACCCTCAACTTGACCGACTGCTGCTTTGAGAGGGGCATTCACATCACCGTCTTCGCTACTGGATGTATCTATACCTACAATGACGAACACCCAATTGGCGGCCCAGGATTTCTCGAGACTGACAAGGCCAACTTCGCTGGCTCATTCTACTCGGAAACCAAGGCACACGTCGAGGAGGTTAGTTGCACATCAAGAAAGTTCTACGAAAGCTAATCATAGCCCAGGTCATGAAAGCATACTCCAATGTTCTCATTCTCCGACTCCGAATGCCAGTCAGCGACGACCTCCATTCCCGCAACTTCGTCACCAAGATCGCCAAGTACGAGCGAGTGGTAGACATTCCCAACTCCAATACCATTCTCCACGACCTCCTCCCAGCCTCTATCCTCATGGCCGAACACAAGGATATCGGTATCTACAACTTCACAAACCCAGGGGCCATCTCCCACAACGAGGTTCTGTCCCTCTTCAAGGAATACGTCCGCCCAGACTTCACCTGGAAGAACTTCACGCTGGAGGAGCAAGCCAAGGTCATCAAGGCCGGCCGAAGTAACTGCAAGCTTGACACCACGAAGTTGATCAACAAGCTCAAGGAGTACAAGTTCGAGGTCCCAGAGGTTCACGAAGCGTACAAGCAATGCTTCCAGCGCATGGCTGCTGCTGGTGTGAAATAGACTCGCCTAGATTTTCCTTTTTTTAATATTTTTTTATTTAAAAAAAGTCGTTTGAGGAGCTTAGAATTCACATGGGAGATGCTAGCTAATGAAGACAAGAATCAAGACCTCTTTTTTTGTTTTGTACAATGGATAATGTGCAAGTAACTGAATTGGGAAAGCATTTCTCAATGGCAAACTGCATTGTGTGACTTATGAATAAAAAAAGAAATTACAACCTCTTATTTTCCATTTAATCCCCAATCACATCAAATCCTAAAACCTATTAAGAAAGATGAGGGTATGGGTGTATAGTTCTTACTCGTCATTGGGTTCACTTAATTTGCCCCTCGCCAATTTCTTGGAGCCTCGCAGCGTCATCTCCGTTGACGCAGCTTCCGAAAATCTCAGCCTCACAAAAAAACGTGGACCAGGCAACCTCACAAAGCGACCTGGGACCATAAATACAGACGACAGATCGCACCCTCACTCACAACTGTTTGTGACAGACGAGATTCACAGCCATGGTCGTAGACACGACGTACTATGACGCTTTAGGCGTCAAGACAGACGCTGATCAACTCGAGATTAAGAAAGCATACCGAAAGCTCGCAATCATAACACATCCAGGCATGCATCTTTACCCCTCTCTCGCATCACCCATTTAATCCCCATCGCAGACAAGAACCCCGGTGACGACACAGCTCACGAGCGCTTCCAATCAATCGGCGAAGCCTACCAAGTACTCAGCAACCCCGATCTGCGCTCGCAGTACGACAAGCACGGCAAAGAGTATGCGAAGCCACAGGAAGGGTTCGCAGACCCGGCCGAGTTCTTCGGGACGATCTTCGGCGGCGAGGCGTTCGTGGACCTGATCGGCGAGATCTCGCTCATGAAGGACCTGACGCGGACGATGGACATTACGATGCAGGAGGGCGCGGAGGAGGAGGAGTTCCCCGGCGAGGAGCAGGCGAGGCAGGAGAGTATCGCGGATGAGCAGCGGAGGGCGGCTGCTGCTGCTGCGGCGACTTCGGGGGGCGAGGGCAGCAAGGTGCCTGCTCCGAGTGTGGTGGAGAGCGCGGATGAGAAATCTACGTTTTCTTCTGCAAGCACGGCGTTCGAGAAGCCTTCTGTCAGTCCGTCTGCTTCTGGCACATCGACACCCAAGAGAAGCCAGGGGATTCCGCTTAGGCCGGCAATTATGGATAAGACGGAAGAGGACGCCGCCATGTCAGCTGCTGGCTTGACGGAAGAGGAAAAAGAGCTCAGAAAGAAGGATAAGAAGAAGGGCGGTCTGTCAAAGGCACAAAGGGAGGAGCTAGCAGCGTACGAGAAAGAGCGCTCGCGCATACGGCAAGAGAGAGTTGACACCCTGGCCAAGAAACTTGTAGACCGCATCAGCATCTGGACGGAAACTGACAAGGGGCCCGACGTCACGAAAGCATTCCAAGAGAAGACGCGCCTGGAAGTTGAGAATCTGAAGATGGAGTCCTTTGGCCTCGACATCCTGCACGCTATCGGCACTACGTATCTACAGAAAGCTACTGCTTTATTGAAATCGCAGAAGTTTTTGGGGATTGGCGGGTTCTTCTCGCGGCTGAAGGATAAGGGGACCCTGGCTAAGGAGACGTGGAACACAATTTCTAGTGCTATTGATGCGCAGATGACGATGGAAGAGATGGCAAAGATGGAGGAGAAGGGCGGCGAGGACTGGACGGATGAGAAGAAGGTCGAGTACGAGCGGAGAGTCACAGGCAAGATCTTGAATGCGGCGTGGCGGGGGAGCAAGTTCGAGATCCAAGGCGTGCTGCGGGATGTCTGTGATGAGATTTTGAATGATAAGAAGGTGCCTATGTCTAAGAGGTTGGAGCGGGCGCAGGCGTTGGTCATTTCAGGGGAGATTTATCAGAAGGTTCGTTCTCATATCCCTTAACACTACCCCTTTTTGACGAGAGAACCAGGCACAACGCAACCCAGAGGAGGAAGGCGACTACATGGCTTTCGAGCAGCTGGTCGCCGAAGCGGCCGCCAAGAAAGAGAAGAAGAAGACGTCGAAAGACAAGAAAGCCGATCCAGCCCACGCCCACCCTGCTTCCGAGGCAGCAGCCGATGCGCCCAATGTCCCGAGGTCTTAGTCGAGGCTTCTTTCTTCTTTCTTCTTTCTAGCGATTTAGTGAGGTTCGAGGGACTAAAGGGGTTGAGAACTTTGATCAGAGGTGTGAATGGGTGATGAATTGCATGAGAGATAGCCAGAAATTTCCCCTTGCTTTGAGCGATGGAACAGAATGAGTGGAAAGGAGCATACTGCATAGAATACATCCCCCTTTCATTTTGCATGTACTTGGTTGTTTTGCGGCCGCTGGCGGTTAGGTCTTCCTGATCGCGAGAGTAGAGATATTAATGTCATGCGATGTCCACGTCTTCTTTTCAGCCTGTATTCGCGCTGGTTAATAGTAGCAATGCGAGTGGTATAGATGCGGTGTGTGAGTGAAGTGTATGAAGTGTATGAAGTGTATGAAGTGTATGAAGTGTATGAAGTGTATGAAGTGTATGAAGTGTATGAAGTGTATGAAGTGAAGTGTGGAGTGAAGCATCTAGATAGAGTGAACTTTGGGGTATTTTGACTGTTTTATTTTTATTGTTTTGTAGGTAAGTCTGCCTCTCGCTCCTCTTTCTGATCTGGATCGTGTGATCTATCCAAGTGCTATACTCCAACATCCCCTCCCTAATTTCTCCGCTTGCCGCTTACCCCTTTCCTCTTACACAATTCGCTTCCATTTCTTCCAAATATCAAATCTCAAAAAAGCGCCGCCCATATATTCGGGTCCCCGACGCCATTCCATCCTCCGTCCTTCTCGCAAGGGGGTATCGCAGTATACAGCAAAGAAAAATGTTCGACGGTTGAGTTGGATGCTCCGAAGGCCGATCGATCGATGAAAGCCGGGTGCTGTGCTTGACCGTTCCTGAACGCCGCCAAATGTGTGTCCTCCAGAATAAAAACGCCGTCCCTGGACCCAATCTTGACATAGGAAAGATGTGAGTGGTGTGTTAGCCGTAGCCCGTCGAAACGTACATCCCTTTCTCTCCCTTTCCCCCGATTGTTGTGTTAGTACAGAGTTATAAGAAAAATTCTCTTGATTCGAGCTCGAATCGGTGAAGTGTGGACTACCGCGGACTCGTAGGCAACGAGTCAAACGCAGCCCCGCTCCCCGATCCAAACCCAGAAGCCGACCCACCGACCTCAATGCCACTATCCCTATCATCCTTCCCCTCTCCGCTCCAGCCTGCTACCTTCCCTACTCCCTCTTTCGCGGCTTTCCTCGCTTCTCGAAGTAACCTCGCGCCGAAAATGCTCATTCCTTCGCTTTCTTCCTCGTTGATAACATCTTCGCTCCCACCCTCCACTTCATCAGGTGCTAGCACCCTCCCACCGAGTTCGACGTCCGAGACGCGTACATGGTACTCCAGCGCTTTCCTCCCTTCATTGATTAGCTCTTCCGTCCAGCCTAAACAACGCTTCAAACTCTGATTCATCTTCTGGGAATCAATGAGAAGCTGCTGGTGTTTAGTCAGATCGAGCTGCAGACGCTTTTCATCTCTTTGCCTGTGCCGGGCGTCGGATTCAGCCATGGCGCGGGGAGAGATCGAGCCTTCTTCCGAATCGGTGGAGAAGGAGGAGTCTTCCTCTTCCTCGTCCTCTTCGTCGTCGTCTTCACTCATGTCGGAGAGGGGGGTGCCGTCTTCGCTTTGAAGTAATGAGGTTCCTGAATTTCGCACCGAGGCCGAGGTTGCTATTGAGAGGCGACCTGAACGGGATAGTCTTCTGTACCGGCGCAGTTCGGCGGTTTGTTTCCTCATTTCCCGTTCTAGGGTGCGATTTATTGCTGCTAGAGAGGAGTTTGTAATTTCCAAGTCGAGAACTTTCCTCTCTCTTCGTGCGTTGGCGGCGAGTTCATTCAATTGTTCGATTGAATGACCTGTTTTAATGGGACTTTGAAGCGCTGAGTCGGCTGGAGGCACTCCAGGTTCTGGAATCTCTTCTGGTGTCGAAATCGGAACAGAAGTCGTAATCAGATTTGATGGTGATCCTGGTGTTTCACCTCCTGATATTTTCCTCACTGGTGGGGCTTTTGTATCGTTCTGTGATCCCACACTTGCTGAACGACCATGGCTAGCTCTCCCTGATTCAATACCCGTCCTGCGTGTTGCAACGATCCCATTTGCTGATTGCCCTCTCCCTACTGGCTGAGGTCGTGGTAGAACTGGTGATTCTAAGGTCGGTGTATTCCTCAATGAAGATAATGAGGCCTGCTGTTGTAACTTCGATGGGGAATTAGGTCTTAAAGGTGGTGAAAATGTGCTTGTGTTTGCCAATCTCGGCGAGTTCATCCGTGACGAAGAAGACACGGCAGAGCTCGGTCTGGGCGGTGGAAAGTGTGGTGCAGACTCGAGGTCCGGAGTGCCATTCGCATGAAAGAACTTAGGGGCTCTATCGTCCACAGTCGATCCCACAGCTGATCCGCTCGAGCTCGGTGGTGGCCCGATTGTCTCACCATTGGCATAAACAAAAGGTGTAGAAGCCTTGGACTGTAGTGGCAGTCTCGCTGGCTGTACCGTTTTTGCCTCACTCGCGAAGAAGAATTTCGAATCATCCTTATTATTCTGCGCTGGACTCTTCGAGTACCCAATATCCGACACCGCAGGACTGAATGACACCGTTGGTCGTTTCGGTACATCCCTGTCAATCCCATTGATCCCCAACCCAGAACCGTAGACTGGCGGATCGTGATTAATTCGAAAGGAATCGTTGGAAGCAGGAACGGGGGTCCCAGTCGGTGTCCCCGTCGGCGTCGTATTTGCGCTGTCGACTCGACTTTTGCGTGATGACGATCGCGGGGTGATGTTGTTGTTTAGAAACGCAGAAACCGGGGTCGACAGATCCTCCCTCGACGACGCACTCGGTGTAGTATTCTCTGAACGCGCTCCCCGGCGCGACAATGGCGTCTGAACAACTGGCGGAGTTGTGCCGGCTACTCGTGGAGTCAAGGGAGCACGATTTGAGGCCTTCGCCGAGGCGCTGAGGACGGGCATCAGCGGTCTGGTGGAGCCGCTGCTCTTATCGTAGGACGGCATGTTCGTGTTGCCACTTTTTGCTGCAAGAGGTGCCTTGAGCGGCACTCGCATCATGGCATTGCTGTCTCTGGACTGCAGCGGTGGACGTAGTGGCGGGCGCGATGGTCGTGAGCGGGTGGGCGTGGCATTGGAATCTTGGTTGTGGTTGTTGTTTTGCGAGTTTTCCAAGATGCTGCTCCTCGAGCGATTCACAGAGCCCAGAAGTGCAGCCCTCATTTTGGCCGCGGCCCCGGTTTCCAAACAGTGGCCTGGCAGGCTGGCAGGCTGGCACGCTCCACACTCAAATCCAAACCACCATCATTGTATTGCTGTGCGGACTAAACTCAAAGAAAGGGGACGCGTAAAGGAATGATCGGTTTTCACGACGATTTTTCCAAGTCTAAAAGCAAATCCATTTGTTTACTTGCCATATGATGGCGGAGCTAGCCTCGTGCCCATAGTATGCGGACTATTAATTGTTTGCGGCCTTGTGAGTTGTCACAACATGGGACGCTCAAGGGCTCCTCCTGCACGCCTTTGATGAGATTCATGCGATGATGACTCAAGCAGGCCACACAAAGGGCGCGCTTTGTGTCTTGCGGGGACAAGCGCGTCATTGTTAGAGGAGCGTCCCCTGCTCGTGGAGTCGAAACGCGAAGGGGGGTCCTTGAAGCCTTAGTCAGCAAATAAATCCCCGACGGATCCATTTTGATCCCGTGCCGATATCGAGGACATCCCACCAACGACACAGTCCAGAACGAACTCTCGAAAAAGAGACCATGGTCCTCCTGGGGCTCTCTCTCCTTGTTGCCTCAGTGACCTTCCTCTGCTACCGGCATCCACCTTCCTCTTGGGCCTTCCTCTCCTGGCTCCAACGCGCCACCCTTCACGATGCCGCAAAGAAAGAGCGACCCGATGCGCCCCCCTCAATATCTCTCCCCGACGGAGACAATGCTTGGAAAGAAGTGTCTTCTCGCAAAGGAGGGATGCCTTCTTCTGCCATGAGCAAAGAAGAACTCGACAGAAAAGCGATGCCGCCACCCCCTCCACCTTTCAAGAAGCCTCAGAAGAAGACCTCACCACGCACACTTCTCAGCGAAGATGACAAAACACCCACAGTCCCAGCCTTCGCCCTCTCTCCCTCTTCCTCGCCATCTTCATCCTTCCCCGCCCCAAACTCCGCACAACGCGCCTCTTCGAACCGCGCCCCTCCCCCCTCCTTCCCCGCCTTAAACTCAGCACAGCGCGCCTCAGGAGGAGCAGGCGCCCCTCCACGCCTCCCAGCAGCCAACCCCCAAGGGACAGCAGGCCTAATGCCACCTCCAATACGCTCACCCATCCAACTCCCGAACCGGACTCCTACAAATTCATCCTTCTCCCTCGCCCCTCCGCCAACACACAATTCCATCCCTACCAAACCGCGAAAAAAGGTCCTCCTCACACCCGGCCACAGCCCTCTAGACTGGGCCCGTCTCTCCTCGTCCCCTACCGCCAATCTACGCGGTTTACCGCCCGATACACCGTATCTCCGCGTCCCTCCTTCCCTGTTGAAGCAGATGACGGGCAGGAAAGGAAAGGATGCATGGACGGTGTTAGGCGGGAAGGTGTATAATATCAGTCCGTATGTGCCGTATCATCCTGGGGGCGAGCCGGAGCTGATGAGGGCGGCGGGACGGGATGGGACGCGGTTGTTTGGGGAGGTGCATCCGTGGGTGAATTGGGAGGGGATGTTGGAGGGGTGTTTGGTGGGGATTGCGGTTGAGGAGGCGGAGGTGGGGAGGGAGAGTAGTTTGGAGGAGATGGACTAAGAAGTGTGGGGCAGAGGGGGTGTTTAGGTTTAATGGACGTGGAGGGGAAACATGTATGGAAGGTGAAGTGTGGGTTTGAATATATGGAGTGGAGGGCATAGAGTGAGGCGTTAAGACATTGCTTTGTTTGTGATGGGTTCGTGGCATGAGATGTTTACATGGCATTGCGGCATGATGATAGAAGAAGACAGAGCTAGATAGGGACGGGTATATAGACGGATAATAGATATGATACCCCTTTTTCCTCCGTCCATCCATCCAATTCTCCCCCAAAAGCAACCTGCCTGCCAGAAATACAATCTCCCTCCCTATCGCTTCTTAAAGCGAAACTTCAGCTCGTCGTCATCATCACTCTCATCACTATCCTTCACCGCCTTCGTCAGCTTCGTCGGCCTCGCCTTCTTCGCCGGTGCCGGCTTCGTCAACACCTTCTCCGCAACCCTCTTACCCCCCTTCCCAGCTGCACTCGCACTCTTACTACTACTCGGTAAATCCAAGTTCTGCGTCTCGTTCGTCTTATCGACCAATGTCTGAGTCTGGGTGCGCTGAGACCGACTACTGGTAGCAGCAGTTTTCTTCGGCGGTGGGGGCGGAGCAACAATCTCGAGATCCAAGTCTGAAGACAGCTGCTCTCCTTTCGCCCAAACACTACCAACCCCAAGTTCATCCTCGGCCTCACTAGCCAGGATCCGCGATGCCTTCTCCGCAGCACGGCTCTGGCTCTTATTAGAAGACCGGCCTTGGATCTCCAGTTCTCTCTGGCTGGCCTCTTGTGTCTCCTTCCCCTTGCCTTTATCCTTCTTCCTCCGCCGCTGAGAGTCCCCATCGTCCCAATAATCATCGCCGATCCCGAAATCCTTCTTCTTGACCTCCTCCAGCGGGACGATGATCTTCTCCTGGACAGGACCCGTAGCACCACCTCGACGACGGAATTTCTTGAAGTTCTTGCGACCGTTCCATTTGTCATCCCAGCGCTCACTCTCATCCGCGCGTGCCGCGGCTCGAGAAGGTGGAACTGACCGCTTTACTTCCATTTCGGCGATTTCGATTTCCGGACGCTCGTGGATGTCCATTCTTTCCAGTTGCTCTTGGATTTTCTCGCGCTCGGCTTTGGCTTTCTCTTCCTCCTCACGTCTCTGGCGTGCTATCTCGAGGATGTCGATTTCCTTTTTGGCTTTCTTTGCGGGCTTTGCAGGTTTGGCAGGTGCTGGCTTCGCCTCGACGATAGGCGCTGGAGGTGGAGGTGTTGGCTCTCCTCGTTCAAGACGGCGGCGCTTCAAAGCTGCTGTGGTAGGTGCCATGATATCCATGATGTCTTCCTCTTCTTCGATAATAGGGGATGCTGGTCTCTTTCGACTGCTCCGGGTTTGTGTCTCTGGTGGTTGAGATGTCTCTTGATCCACGTCTACTTCTGTATTCTGTGATACGAAGAGACTCTGAGACTCAACTGCTGGTTCATCTACAGCCATAGACTCGGGTGCTGAGCTCACAGGAACGCTGAAATCATCTTCAAAACCTGTAAACTTCGCCCTGGCGCCCCGGCGAGCTCTACCCCGTCGTGGAGGCTCAGGTGGAGCCATCTCTTCCGCGGTTTGGGTGGTCGGAGCAAGCTGGGATATTTGAATGGTTTGTGAGGTCAAATTGGTAGCTAGGTTCATCAGTAAGAAAATCGAATACACTGCGCACCACGACTCACCTGCTGTTGGGGGCGGCGCCACCACTCCGGAGAGTTCTATCTCAAGAGGTCGCCGTAGAACACTTGCATCGTTTCCTAGAATAGCATCAAGGAACTCATTCTGTTCAACAAAGCGATGATCAAGACGCATTTGAACCTTTCGGCCAAAATCTGCATACCAGTCGGCGCCAGCCCCTTTGACAGGATTGAATCGGACAACAACAACTCCCTTGCCCTCGCTGCCGTCGTCAAACTCTCCAAGACCCTTTTCACCAGCAACATTCTTGACGTATTCAACAAAACCGTCGACAGTCGTCTCGTTCGGAACAGCCTCACTTATCATAGCCTTTCCCTTACCTTCTGTGATTGTTGCGAGAAGGGTGTCGTATTGTCGTCTTTCGTAGAACACAAATGTATACCCGTCAAACATGTCCTGCCGAAGGGCATTTGGCTCATAGGCAGTTTCATCGCGCTGTGTAGGTTCTTCTCCTTTCGGGGGGAGATGTCGAAGCGGGTCTGGAAAATTGGCCTCGAAGTCTACTTCTAAAGGAGCTGGTCCTCCCTCATTTGGTGTGGCCGAAGCGACCAAAGCATTGACAAATGAGGGATTGTAGACAATGTATTTCCCATTAATAAGTGCTTGGAGCCCCTTCGATGTATTGCGTTTCTTAGCAACAAGGTGTGTTGTGTGTCCGTGTTCGTATTCAATGAGAATTTTGATATCGAGGGGCCCGAATAGTTCATAGAGATTCGTGTATGGATTCGCGTTGTGGTCTTTGGTGGAGAAGGAGAATGTGAGTATGATAGGGACCCAAGTTAATCTGAACTTGTTAGCATATGTGCTTGGCTTTGAGGAGCCCTGTCGTACCGAAAATTGTACTTGTATTTCCCGAGAGTGATAACGTTATCTTCCCTCTGAAGAACATGGTCTGTCTTCTTCTCCAAACGCTGCCCGTTCACCGTCGTACCTATTTTTGTGCCGAGGTCTTGCAGTGTGACGCGCGATCGGGTTCTGGCATTTGGCTATTGAAGTGTGAGCTTGGACGAGTCCTTTCGAGGAAGTGGCTCTTACGCAGTCAACAGCCGTGACGGGATCCACCTCGATTGTCAAATGCTGTCTGGAGACGGTCTTGTCCTCTATAACAAATTGCCCATCTGCCGATGTCAGCTAGGCCATAGTATGATAGAAGCATCGCGCACCTTCTGTATGAGTGCGCCCAAAGAGGAATTTCTTCCCTGGTCGCAGCCAGAGTTTCTTGCCTGCGAAACGTTGAACCTTGTGTAAACGCGACGGGCGAGGGTGCCATACCTTTGAAGGCGTCGCCTTTGTTCTCAAGAACCCACATGCCTAATGGCTCAAGTTAAGGTGAGAGAGCCTTCCGCAGCGGGATTTGGGCCTGATAGGCGCGATGTTGTCGAAGGTTCAAGGTTGTCAGAAGCGGGGAGACGCGTGATCACCTGATCCTCGACACCAAAAATACGCCTCTTGCCTTTTCATAGCGAATTTATCAGGTGCTTTGTTCAGCCTCGGCGAAATTTAGTGCGGTATAAATTTCCGCAGCCTCAGAAAATTCTGTGATTGTGCCTTCTTCTCTTCTTCTTCTCTTCTTCTCTTATCCTCTTCCCTATTCTCTTTCAACCCCTGGGATGAGAAGCCATTTTATTGCAACATATAAGAGCAGCTCAAGATAGCCTAGCAGGTAATCAGATTTCTCGCACTTGCCCCATGAACAGTACAAATCTTTCCCAGCCTGGTGAGTACAGCCTCCCTTCTAACGTTGTTGATTGTGGCCAGGAATTGAATTCGGTCTTCTTGGAGGATGCCCCTAGCAGAGACTTTTTGGAAAGCTTTGGCACATTTCTGCAAGTGCCTTGCCAGGTTCTGTTTGCTCGTTTCGTCAAGCGCACGAGCACCCCGTTGGATGATTAGGTTCTGCAGCCACATAAAAGCCTCTGCTGACACTGGCGTCACTGGCGTTTGCAGTTCTACGTCTTGCCGACAAGACCCTACCTTCACCTCATCGGCTCTAGGAATGGCCGATTCAGCCGGGTTGGGCATACTTCTGAGCACCCTTTCTGGATTAAACGGGAATAAACCACTTGCAGCGAAGCAGGCCTTGATATTCTTCGGCGTGAACGCGACCACCCTCGCAGGGCTAACTTTCCATGACACCACTACCTCCCTGATCCAACAGAACGTCACTGATGGTTTCGTATGCATAGCTCAGATAGCCGGTCCTAGGTGAACGAACCGAAATCGATCTCCACCCTCTCCCTTAACAATCGGCATCAAAGAATTAAGATATCCCACTTCGCACCCCATTGTTCCGAGTCGTATCCAGCCTCGACCTGCCTAAACTCTCTACTGTATTGTCGACATGCGAACTGAAAGTCTTTTGGTGATGAAAGGACCGTAAATGTGCCAACCCTCACAAATTCGCTCTGGGTTTCAGGACCAGCACCCCGAAGAATAATACCGGCTACTCTTGGAACACTCATTGTCACTCCGCCTAGGTTCACCTCTTCGTATCTTGCATTATACCGGACTGGAAGATAATAAAAGCCGTGGTGCATAACTGGATCAGACTCATGACTATAATCATCCACACTTGCACTTCCAACTCTTAATCCGTTGACAATAAGGCAGAATGAGCCTCTGTTTTCTGGTGACTCCTCCAGATAAACTCCTGATTTTGCTAAGCTGCACCGGAGTCTAAGGAATCCGCTTTTGACTTGCCCAAAGTGATTCCTATCACTGACTAGCTCAACTCCGACGTCCAAGATTTCCAGAACGATCTCGTGGTCATCGGCATGCCGCACAACACAAGCATCTTCGATGTGGCCATGTATGGAAGCCCAAGACCAGCTCGGCGCGGTGTAGACTTCGGGGCGTGACGTGGACACAACCCACTGGATGCCGCTAGCCTTCCACAAAAGCTGGTAAGCTAGGTGTTTTCGCCACATTCCTGCTAGATACTGGGATTTGGTGTGCTTTTGCATTCTCCCCGCCAACCCAGATAGGGCGACGAGCTTGTCCGTTGAGTAAGTGAGATTTCCTTTCGAGTAGGTGCTGATGATGAGATCCCAGAGACTGAACGCATCCAGATCTGGCGCCTCTGATAAGCCCAACCCCTTTCGTCGACGGGCACCGTCGATATGTGGATCGAGGCCCTTGGAAGGGGCGCCCACTCTAGCCGGTAAACCTAAAGGAAATGTTTCGCTTGCAACACGTCCACAGCACTCCCAATAAAGTTGTGTGTCTCCGAAATACAGATTCCGGGGTGCCAAGTATCGCTCTTGACACGCCCAGGCCCGCCTATGCAAGGGCATATTCATAACATTCTCCCGCCAGTAGAGCCACTGGACAGCGTAGTAAGTTCCTGGATTTGGGCCCCAGTTGAGATTGACCTTCAGCGGCTTGACCAAGTCGGGACTTCTCTCGATAAAACATCCATGTGTTCCATCAGCAGCATGTGCAGCAGCTATATTGCAATAAGAGTTCGAGTAAACTTCGGACATAGATTGTGACTCCCTTTCCCAATCCGCAGCTAAATCTTGAACAATGCAGAGACTGTCGATCCAGATATAGTTTAAACCCAATCGTTGGGTAATTAGAAAAGCATCTTGAAACGATTTAGACAGCTGTGAGATCGGAATCCGCTTCTGCAATTCGGCTATATTGCTGGATAGCAACAGCAGAGGCATATGGGAACCCCAGCAATGGCTCATTGTAGCGTACGGCAAAATGGGAGTGTCATCTTTGACTACTACTAGCCTCGGCGCTCCCGAGCCAACGTCGATGACACGCGATGGAAGGGAAGGTTCTATAGCCATCAACCTGTTGCATGGCTTGTGTGACTTTGCACATTCATCCAGCCAGTTTGCGACTACTGACCAGCTTGTATCTGAATTTGTGTTGGCACTGACCTCTCCATGGCCGACAAAGGGTGCTACTTCTAAGCCTTTTGTTAAAAATGTCTCACTCAGTTGGTTGGCATTCTCAACTCTTACCAGCCTCTGGAAACAGTTGTATCACACTCTTAACTTCGTTACCGGAGTTCCATCCAAGATATAGATTGTCCGGATCTACGTGCAATCCAATACTCGGAGGATTTCCCTCACTGAGAAAGATCGCCTCTTCGTACGCAATGTCAGGAGAAGTTCCGTCAATCGCACTCGTCAGCTGGCATAAAGCAGCCCTTGCCGGAATGCCCAAGGCGTGTAATAGGTGCAAACAGAGTATGCACCCATTGGAAGCAGTGACTTCCACAGAGTCGAATGTTTTAATTAGTCGGATTTGTTTCTTGTCTGGCTCCTGTCGGGTTTCGTTGATCTCTGTAATGACAAGACCCTCAGGATACTGGGTATTTAAAAGGCTCTGGCACTTCCAGCAAAGGTCACCATTTTCCACGACAGAAGTCGACATTGAACGGTTGAGTGGCAGGTGAGTGCGGAAGCAGGCACGTGGCTGCTCTAAATTCTAAGGCAAGAATAGTTAAGTCAGCAGCATGTTAGCCGACATTACCTAATGCAAATTCTCACGTGATCCATGGTCAGGGAATACGCCACACCTGACTAAGTTCGTAACAGTGGATTGGTAAAATATTACGAATCCGGGCTTTGATATGGTACCCTTCGTCCGCTGAGATATTGCCACATTAGCGGCCGCACATGAATATCCCTAATTTGGATTATGTTTTGGCCGAATTGGGGATATTCATATGTGGCCGCTAATGTGGCAATGTCTCAGCGGACGAAGGGATAATGTAATTATGCTAATGCACACTAAGCACTAAATTATGAAGCTAAAATATGCGACATTTTATGTATCCTCCTCGCACGGCGAAACTCCCGGACTTCCTTATAATCCTCTCTGAATGTCTTCAAAACATGGAATTATATTGTTTCTTTATAGAACCTTTCCCCAAGTGCTCCGAATTTCGAAAAGACTCTCGTAGTTATAATTAAGCGGGGGGGGGGGATTGCTGAAACGGCGATCGACGGCGTCAATGAAACGATCTGCAGTATAATCAACCGTAATATTTTTTCTCGTTGCAAGCTGGTTTCCTAGGGAGAAATAGCAGAAGAACATTGACATATTGATAAATGCTTCGTAAACTTGCAAGGGGCAGACTTGAGATGCTTAACTCGTAGATTCGTCTCGCCACAGCGTCGTCTCGCGACACAGGGACAGACGTTACTCAGATGCATTCAAAACGAATGGTAACAATTCTATAGCTGCACAGGTGCGCTAGTGCATGGCAGACAATTTTCTGGACATTGTTACCACTGGCAGTCAGTTTAATGACGCCGCCTGGCGGCCGTGGATACGGCCTCCCCAGCCGATATTGAACAATCTTCGCTGCTCTCCCATTCTTTGTGCCGCCGATGCCTTCTCAGTGGCGTCCATCTGGCCGTTCTTTGCCTTTACCAAAAGCAGCGATCCTTGGAAGCCGTTGGCTTGATCTTGCATGAGCGTTTTAATGCGCCCTCGGAAAGACAATGAGGAGTTGAGATGCTCGACGAGGAAGACGACGAGACCGAATTAATACAAAGCTTAGAAGCGATTGCTTGGCTGCGTTGGCCATAGTTCCTTCTTGGGACATTACCTCCAGCTATCAAGCTCATGTCAGTGAGTGGCGTCCGCTAGGAGCAGGCCTGGGGATGACGTTTCCACTTCATGGATCATCAACGAAAGCTTGATCATCTGTGCTGACGCGAATAATACATTCTCCACCGTCTCACGAACAGGCCGTATCTCTTGGTCTAGCTTCGAACAGATGACCTTGTCTTCTAGACATCGGGGCTTTCGGGCTAAGGTAGTTACTCTGCAATATTGGCTTGCAATTTCGGCCTTGGTGGTTCATACCGTGATCCTGAATGGCGCGTTCCGTGTCGTTTTTCGAAAATTGCGACTAAGCTCTTCAGCCTCCTGGTCCAATCGCCCAAGGATAGACTACTTTCGTAGTCCTAGTGGTCCTATCGTTTCGGCACGGGCTATTTTTCATCGTATTCTTTCATCTTGCGGCGATTGGGATTGATGCTTCATGGATTACTTGCCTTCATGCACTTCAATACTTTTCTCCTCCTTGTCAGTACTGCACTTAATTTCTGCACAGTCAACGTTACGGGTAATACTTCTTATTCTGCGGGAAATGTCTTTGGTTTTACGAGTTTTGGCCTTGTAGCCATTTTCGCATTTGTTTCATTACTTTCTTCTTGCTCCGTTATGCTCGGCGAGAATCTGTTTGTTGCGTTTCCCGGTAGAAACGAAAACAGTCCGAGTATTGATCATGGGGGGTATCTTTCCTTGGTGTTTTTCAAGGCTACGGTTGTCGGAGCTATACATTTGTACGGACATATTTATCATCCTGAGGGCACTGTAAATCCTAGCTGGACGGGCATGTTTGGATGAACGAGACGACCATAGAATATTGAGGAGCTCATAGATAGTGGTTTCTATCTATTGTTGTCGTTCAAAGCTCTGTCTTCGGCATATTCTGACTTCTTGATTCTTCAAAATGCCGGGTTTAGTCGGTGTCATTGAACCCGCAGCACCTGGTAAGCAGGCCTCCGGGTTTCATACCACCGACTCAAACAGACGGCTTGCTGCTCAAGTCCCCAACACTGCATTGACCTGTGAGTAAGTTGAGTTCTCAATGCGCAACGGATTTCATTTCATTTATCGTATCTCATTCCCCAAAAGCTTGTTGTGTTTTGTGTCTACATTATCTCCCCCTCTCACAGCCCAGTCTGGTCTTGAAGGAGTACACTCTATCGAAGAAATACACTTCTTCAAAATGATAGCTTTGTTTTTTATGAAATCTATTTCTCCATTTTGTAGGTAAGTGTAGAATCAACATTTTGGTCGCGCATGGGATTTTCCCGAGCGGGGGTTATCAGTGGCTCTGGAGCGTTCCTGATTCGAAAACTGACATTTGGCTCCACTCCAGTCATGAACTTTTCTCGGGAATCGATATCGGAGAAGCGCGTTAGGCGGGTTACTTACTGTATTGAACCCGTCTGCAGAACTCATGCATATGGCATGCACCTGGCCTGCACGTTGACTATTGCGAACAACTGAGCTGTACCTCTCGGCCCGGCAGCCTATAAAGACCACAAGGCGACCTCCCACTTCTCTTCTCAAATTGCCTGTTTTCCATTTGGCCGCTTCAATTACGACTATTCAGACCCTCCAATTGTGCGCTATCCAACCCGAATCACTTCAATGATTTCCGTCAACTTGATTCCTCTGTCAGATTATGGGCAGCTATCTCTCGTAGTTCTAGGACTCCTAGTTCTGGCATATATTGGGAATGCGATTCGTGTCTGGTATCGATTGAGGCATTTCAAGGGTCCCACCTCTGTTGCATGGTCGAAGTTTTGGCTCATTAGAAGTCACATAAAGCAGACAGTCTACCTCGATGTAGCAGAAGTTTGCGAGAAATATGGTAAGCAACGATTGAAGTGTTTATCACTACATAGCTGATGCTTTGAAAGGATCCATCGCCAGGTGTGGGCCGAATTGGCTTGTGAGTCCAATGTTTTGAAGCCGCACTACATTCCTTCAATAGCTGGCGAATCATGCGCTCTTTAGATATGTTTTCAGGTTCAACTACTCAGAAGACACTGTTCCAACCCAATTATGCGCTGTCAAGCAACGCTGATTCGAGAATCTGTGGTTAAGGTCACGAACGAGCCAGAACTCCTCCGCCGGATGTATGGAGTTCGATCACTTTACAGACGCAACAAAGGGCACGTTGCTTATCAATTCAAGCCAGGACACGACAATATCATCTCCGTCATGGATGACGGCAAACACACTCGACTCCGCTCCAAAATGTTTGCTGGCGTAAGTTCCACCATCCGCTCACGGCCATCACTAACGGTATGCAGTATTCAGGAAAGGAGAATGACAACCTCATAAGTAGCATCGATGAGAACATTATGAAACTCGTCAAGCTCATTGACGAGAAGTACGTCGCTTCGGGTGCGGAGTTCAAGCCGATGGATATTGGCCGGAAGGCTCAGTATTTCACAGTCGACGTTGTTTCCACCCTCGCTTTTGGGAAGGCCTTTGGGGATCTCGTGACCGACTCCGATAACCACCAATACATTGAGAATATAGAGGAATCGGGACCAGTGATTATCTTGGTCTCGGTATTACCCTGGATCAGCAAACTTTTCAAGCTGCCTCTGCTGAAGTCATTGCTTCCCTCAGAAGCCGATACCATCGGATTTGGCAAAATCATGGGGTTCGTACTGTCACATATTCCAATGAATTAGACTGACGTGGAAAAGTTTTGCCAAAGAAACAGTCGCCGAAAGATTCGGACCGAACAAGAAGTCGCAGCGAGACATGCTCGGATCGTTCCTTGCACACGGCTTAACCCAGGAGGAAGCAGAATCCGAGATTCTCGTTCAGATGTACGTAGTGCACCTCCATTTCCTCTATCATGCTAACGTCCAGAAGTCTCACCGGATCCGACACAATCGCAACAGCAATCCGCGTCACGCTCCTCTACCTCTCGACCAACCCCCGAGTTCTCTCAAAGTTCCTCGATGAGATAGCAGCTCACTCTCCCAGCTCTCCCATCACCGAACCCGAAGCGAAGGCCATGCCCTACCTGCAGGCCATCATCAAAGAAGGACTGCGTCTCTGGCCTCCGTCTTCCGCTCTCGTAACCAAGACTGCGCCGCCACAAGGCGACACCTTCAACGGTCTCTTCATCCCCGGCGGCACAGACGTCGGCTCCTCCGCTTGGGGCGTCTTCAGAAATAAGAAGTTCTGGGGCGATGATGCAAATGAGTTTCGTCCTGAGCGCTGGTTTGGGCTGGAGGATGGGAGGAGGAAGGAGATGGATGATACGATGGGACTGATTTTTGGGTTTGGGAAGTATACGTGTTTGGGTAAGGGGGTGGCAATGCTTGAGTTGAATAAGGTGTTTGTTGAGGTGAGTGGAGAGTGTTAAGGAAGCTTGAGTGGTGGTGTTGACGTTTTTAGCTTTTGAGACGCTTTGAGTTTACGGTTATTGATCCGACGAAGCCTTGGAAGTGCTTGAATTTTGGGGTAAGTCTTAGTCTTTGTATTTGAGATTGTTCAAGGTGAAAGACTAAGCTGGTTATAGATCTTTTCTCAATCGGAAATGTGGATGAGGGTGTCAAGGAGAGAGAAACAACTTTGAGTCGAGGTCGTGCTTCCAAACTCTCGTTTCTCACGTGTTCGGGCAGCTTCATTCTAACTTTGATTTATTGGAGAATTGAATGGGTATAAAGGTCATATTTCATTTCAACATGATAGAAAATATCATAATTACAAAGACTAATTACTTCCATGAGCAGCACTATTGTTTGCCGATCACCCCCCAAACTTCTCTTTCTGTGCTCTCTCAGGCGAGCCCCCGATAGTCGTTTCTGTCGGTGACCTGATCTCCTTCGATGTCCCGCCTCTTGCTCCTTCGTCCAGGCTAGAAAGCTCGATTCCATGATTCCCTGACCTTAGTTTGCTCCCCAGCCTCGCGGACAACACCTGCCCCCAGCTTTGCTGTTCCTGTTGGGTTTGTCTCGAGGCCGTCATGGTCTTGTCAGATTGGAAGATGACGGGGAAGAGTTTGACTAGGAGGGGTCGGAAACACATCAAACTGGCGCAGATTATTGATGTAAATGCCTCGAGAACGCTCCAGATTATCACGTCGACGTTGTCATCTACGGGAAAAATCAGAATCCTGAGGGCATATAAAAGGTAGGAAGGATTTACTTACAAGTCAAGTCGATCGATGTTCCGTATGAGATGATATATTTGAGACGGACCAAACTTGTGATGCACGCACTCGAAATTGATATCAGCAAGTTTATTCCTTGGCTGCCGATGAGAGACTCACAAAGACCCAAGAGCGAACATGAATGCCAACGCAAATTTCTTCTTCAAGTCCAACTTCAGAGCCTTCAGCTCCATTACGGGCAGGAACATTATGATTAAATCCTCCAGGATAGTGAGTCCCGCCCCTGCATACACGAAAGCCTGAGAATGGATGCATTTCCCCGGAATCGTAATATCCCAATACGAGCCCACTGGTGTACATTGAAACAAGACGACGAATGCGAAAGCAATCGTTTGTACAAGAAGCCATGCCATGGTCATGTATGTGGCGAGACGAAAGCTTTTGCTGGGGAAGATTCGGAGGTAGAGGAAGAGGATCGACATCTTTGCCACTGGTAAGATGAAGACGTAGAGGATTTGGGAGATGTAGTAGAGCTGTTGAGGTAAGAAGATGTCTTCCATAGGGTGGGGTATTTGAGAAAGCTACCTTTCGTAGGCCTTCCAGATTTTCAACGGGGACATCCCAGAAGTGATTCCCGAAGCCTCGAGTGGCATCTGAACTATGTTAGTGTTATGTGAAGAACTTTGCACACCTTGAAACCGTACTTATTATTGGAATTATCGTCATTGGGATCATTATAAGCTATTAAAGAGGTCAATAGCTGGACAGCAAGGTTCCCTTGAGTGAGACTTACAGTTGCAACTCCAACAGCCCAATCATCCCACCCCATTTTGTTGGAAACCATACTTCTAGACACAAATCTCAGGGCGGCGATTGGAAAGGTCACAGCAGCCATGATGGTAATGTCCCGTATGATTTCCCCGCTTCGGGATGGATACGGGACGCCCATGCAAACATCCTTTTGAACGGCACTGAGCGTCTCTGCTAAGACTTAGCTTCCAGGTGGACAGCCAAATACGTAGGCAAATGGGGCGCGATAACTTACGAGCCTGCTCCGTGATGTTGCATGAGTCCAGCACGCAAAGTGAGAGGCTTCTCTGCAAATCAACACTGGTGCAGAGACATTCCGTAAGATTGGTGAATGCACAACCTGCTGGGAGCAGCAAACTTGTTGAACATTGCAGCTGAAAGACATATTAGACAAAGCTGACGGATGATGCGTGGTCCAACTTACAGTACATGCCGGAATATCAGCAACTAGTTGTGTGAGGTTGGTCTGAGCAAGAGTAGAACTGATCAGAATTGCCACTGACGTGAGTATAGTTCGAGGATACATCGCGCGACCAGTTGCAGGAACCCTTCAAAAGGTTCCTTTTCCTGAGAAGGGAATTGCCTCCATTATTAAGTTCTCAGCCCAAGAAACCCGGTATTGGGGACGCAGGACGCAGGACGCAGGACGCGACGCAGAACGCAGGTACGACTTGGAGGGCTGGAATGGGAAAGTCAGAGCGGGAGGCTGGAGTACTAAAAGCTGATGTGGGACCCCCCCCTTTCCCACTAAGAAAGGGGCAACCGGAGCTTCCGCTGCCAAGCGGTGGAGTCGGGCGCCCGCAAGAAAGATGGGATGAAACGGTAGTGTCGGTGGGGCCGGGTAAGAATAGAGTCAACCCCATCCGCTTCGCAGAATCGCAGTTAGGCACGGCCGTATATGCTCGCAGAGCAGAGTCAGTCCTTCGCAAACCTAGAAAGCGAGGACGACGGTCGGTACGAGGGTATGCCCCGTAGAATAATATATTTTGCAGGCGGTGGGTGCGCAACAGCTAGCGATTGGCAAGCATGCTGCCCAGGGATCCTGGCAGAATGCAGCTGGCCTTGAAATTCAACACCGAGTCAGTTTTTCCTCACGGCATTAATATCATTCATGAAGCGGTCCCCGCCGACACGAAATTCTCTGTCCCGTTTGGCCGACCTCCTTCCAACTCGGGCCGGGCGTCACATCTCACCCCAGGTCCACATGGCAAACACGTTTGACCCCTTATTTTAGCCGCCGTCATACCTGGCCAATGTACAGTAGCATCTCTTGCATGAAGATCTGCCGCCGAGCTGAGATGAAGTCCCATGCAGTGAGTCAGTGCCACAGACAGGAGGCTTGGGAGTTTATATGCAGTCCCATTGTGTGAATGGATTTCCCCATTCGGCAAGAAAAGTCGCGCACTCGATACTTGCGGTGAGAGAGGTACCACCGGGGAATGCCAAGTCCCCAGAAAAGAATCGATTGACTCGATCAACCAAATTGTGCTTCAACAATGGCCAGTCTTAAAGTCGACACTCCTCGGGACTTCAAAACTCCAGGCATGAACTGAAAGGAGGTCATTTGATCTTCCTTCGTCAATCACAACTTGGCTATCAATGATTTCGACGTCCTAGAGATCCAAAATCCGATTGGGAACATGGGTTTCTAGTCGCTCTCCCCAACTCCGACGAGTTCTTCCTTCCGAAAGCAATTGTATCGCCAGTGGCGGTTTCTTACTGGAGGTTTCATCATCCGGGAGAGTTTCAGAACTTCCTTCTTAGAAAGATTTAAGAAGGAACAAGCAATGCATTTAAGGAATGCTTCCGCCTAAGGAGTTCTGACTGGTAAAAAAGGCTGGAAATGGTATGTTAACGGCAGGGTGATGAAGTTGGGAAGAGAAAAGGGACCGAAGATCTCATTTCAGATTCGATAAACGTGTATAAGTAGTAGGCAGGCGGAAGGAAGTTTCCATTGGGCTTGTTGAGGCGGTACGAGAGGGCGGTGACTTTTCCCAGCAACCCGTAATTAGAAAGTAAATGCTCAGGAAGAACGAACACGCCAATGAACCAGCAAACAAAACTAAACAAAGGGTGGGGGTCGATAATGAGAGGATATGAAGAGAGGGTGGTAACACATACATACTGCAAATGAGCACAGACTCGATTCGAGATTCCACAGTTGAGTTTGTCTGGAAGGGATCTTCGACTCCGAGATCGATCTTGGCGGAAGAGTCTTATCAACTCAAGGCCTTACGTTGGTCAAATCGTCCTCTTGATATTTCGCGCCGCCCGAGATTCTGAACAGAGGTGTCAACGGGCAGGTAGCTGCTGTATCTTGAGGGTGAGAAGCCGCTGAAACTCCGTTTGAGTCGACATATAGGGGGCCCAGGAACGCTCAACAAATGAAAGAAGAGATATGCTGCTCACAACCAACTGTAATCTTTGTGCTGTTAAAATCGAGAGAGCAAGCCCCGTCAGCGGTGAACGTTGACCCTTGGACGCCGTTACCCCCGTTTGAAGACATTGCTGAAGCTCTCACATCAAACCATTTGCTGTACATACGCTGTACGAGATACTGAATATGTGAATTGGGAAACCCTCCGAAGAACTTGCTCTTCCTTGTTACAAAGGGAAGAGCAGTCAGGGCTTTTAAGTTTCAAAAGGAAGGAAGTTTGAATTCACGACAAGATTCGGAGCTAGTGCCGGAAATGGCTAGACTCCCGAAAGTAATCCGATCCAGTCGCGAAGAAAAGTGTCGATGATCCGATTCTCTTGAAAACACTCAATTGCGCCAATAATAATGAGGGTGCACAGAGCTGTCCGGGCTGCGGCTTCGGCGGAGGCATCAATTGGCGCTGTGAGGAGTTGCGCATCCAGACCTCGGTTTCTCTGCCTCAATGCAGCAAGTCGAGGAACGGGCGTTCGAGCAGCTGGAAGGGGGCAAGCCGCGCAGAGATACTTCTCAGAGTCGAGAAGTATTCGAGCTGGTGCTGCAGAGGCTGTGTGAGTTTCTCTCTGTTTATACTAGGTTCAGATATGGAAGAGAATCATAACAAGACTAGAGAGGTCCGAACGAAGACCAGGACTTAATGCTAATTGGGGCGTTCAGATTAAAACAAGCAGCCGCAGACCCATCTGCTCTATCTCAGGAGGCAATTATAAGCAATTTGGATGAAGTGGAGAGAGGAAGGTTGGCCCGGATCAGAAATATTGGTATTGCAGTGGGTATTCTCTCGTCAAACTGACGAAGGACCAGAAGACTGAAGATGTGGTTCATAGGCACATATCGATAGCGGAAAGACCACAGCCACAGAGAGAGTCCTTTTCTACACCGGCCGAATCAATGCAATCCACGAAGTCAGAGGGAAGGATGCTGTTGGTGCGAAGATGGACTCTATGGAATTGGAAAGGGAAAAGGGAATTACAATCCAGTCAGCGGCGACCTTCTGTGACTGGATCAAGGAAGAGAACGGCAAGGAGGAGAAATACCACATCAACTTGATCGATACACCTGGCCATATTGATTTCACCATTGAGGTGGAACGAGCTTTGAGAGTCTTGGATGGAGCTGTTATGATACTCTGTGCGGTCAGTGGAGTTCAAAGTCAAACGATCACGGTCGACAGACAAATGCGAAGATACAACGTTCCTCGAATTAGTTTCATCAACAAAATGGATCGAATGGGAGCGAATCCGTTCAAGGCTGTGGATCAAATCAACCAAAAACTCCGAATCCCTGCTGCAGCTCTTCAAGTTCCTATTGGGTCGGAGGATAGCTTTCTGGGCGTGGTCGATTTGATCAGAATGAAGGCTATCTATAATGATGGACCAAGGGGCGAGGTTATCAGAGAAACCGACGAGATTCCCGAAGGCGTCCAAAAGTTGGCCGAGGAGAGGAGGAAGATGCTTATTGAGACTTTGGCAGACGTGGATGATGAGATCGCCGAGATTTTCCTGGACGAAAGAACACCGAGCCCAGAGCAAATGAAAGCCGCTATTCGAAGAGCGACAATCGCACTGAAGTTCACGCCAGTTTTAATGGGAAGCGCCTTGGCCGATAAGTCGGTCCAGCCCATGTTGGATGCGGTCTGTGATTACTTACCAAATCCATCTGAAGTCGAGAATTTAGCTCTAGACAAGAGGAGAAATGAGGCCTCTGTCAAACTCGTATCATACAACTCGTTACCATTTGTTGGCCTGGCTTTCAAGCTGGAAGAGAGCAACTATGGACAATTGACTTATATCCGAGTCTACCAAGGATCGATGAAGAAAGGAATGAATGTCTTCAACGCCAGAACAGACAAGAGGGTAAAGGTTCCTCGAATTGTGCGAATGCACTCCAACGAGATGGAGGAAGTTCCCGAAATTGGTGCTGGAGAAATCTGCGCTGTGTTTGGAGTTGACTGCGCATCTGGAGATACTTTCACTGACGGTGGACTGCCGTACTCGATGTCTTCCATGTTTGTCCCCGATCCCGTCATATCGTTATCCATCAAGCCCAAAACGACAAAGGATACCGGCAACTTCAGCAAAGCTATGAATCGATTCCAGCGTGAGGATCCTACATTCCGAGTCCATGTCGATGCGGAAAGTCAAGAGACAATCATCTCAGGAATGGGAGAGCTGCATCTTGACATTTACGTTGAGCGTATGCGTCGTGAATACAAAGTTGAAGTTGAGACTGGTCAACCACAAGTCGCTTACCGGGAGACCATAACTCAGCACACCACCTTTGACCACACTCTCAAAAAGCAGACCGGAGGTGCTGGTGATTACGCTCGAGTTGTAGGGTTCATGGAACCCATCGAACCAGGCCCGACCGGCTACGGCCCATCCAAGTTCAGACAGGAAGTCACAGGAGGTTCGATCTCCGAGAAGTACTTGTTTGCATGCGAAAAGGGATTCCTGGCGTCCTGTGAGAAGGGTCCTCTGATCGGTCATCCAGTCTTGGGAACTTCTATGATTGTCAATGACGGTGCTACTCACATGACTGATTCGTCCGAAATGGCATTCAAGAACGCTACCCAGCAGGCGTTCCGCAAAGCTTTCAAGGAAGCAAAACCTCAAGTTTTGGAGCCGCTGATGAAGACGACCATCACGGCACCAAATGAGTTCCAGGGTAACATTGTGGGATTGTTAAACAAGAGAAATGCCATCATCAATGAAACGGAAATTGGACCTGAGGATTTCACGTTAATGGCGGACTGTAGTTTGAATGCAATGTTTGGATTTAGTTCTCAATTGAGAGCTGCGACGCAAGGCAAGGGCGAGTTTGGCATGGAGTTCAGCCATTACGCTCCCGCGCCTGGGCAGTTACAGTGAGTCTTCCTATCTCTCACCTATATGTCATATTCACTGACATCCATCGCAGAAAAGAACTTATTGCGAAATACGAGAAGATGCAAGCTGATAGGCATAAGAAATAAAGTCAGATCGATACTTCCTGTCTAGTGTGTTAATAGACTTCCTTCTTGGTAAAACTTTTGAGGGAGGGAACCGAGATCTGAATAGATTGTATATGTCAACATTGCATGGGCACGGTTGGGATAGAAAACGAATGGAGTCTATGGCATATGAGTTGTAATATATCAATGAGAAGGATCTCAACTCGTGTGCTCGTCCCCTTGACTACAAGAACTACCCAGCCCCCCCATATGTGTTGATTTGTATACTCAAGCGAGGGCCCAGAAATTGTCATTTCCGCAGCTGGTTTTCTGAACTTGTTTAGCGAATAAATTGAGCTGGCTTGATAATCTCCATATCAATCGACATCGCTGTTTCCTTGAAGCAGATGACCGTCCACCTGCAAAGTTGCAATAATCGAACCTCCATTTCTGCACGGCACTGGCTCATCTCCACAATTCGAACGTACATTTATTGAAGACTTTTAAGTGAAGATTTCAACAAGAAACGAAGAAAGCACAGTACAGATGAACTCTTCCCGATCTCCAGCCTACTCGATCAAGTACTCTTGCCAGCCGCTATCATAAAAGTGCTGGAGGCTGGGCATAGGATGCAAGTATGCGGTACCCACGTTGTTGTGCCTTCCATCTCAAGTCTCTCTCAAAACGACTGGTAGGCCGCAGCCTCGCAACAAATAAATCTCATTATGGGGTCTTGACTCTTGCCTGAACGTGAACGATTCCAATTTTGCCTCGAAAGCTCATAGTTAACCGCATCCCTGTCCCGACCACATGAGCGACCCTTCCAATGAACCGGCGCAATAGTCAATAAGGGTCTCCAATATCGGAGCCATTAGTACTGTCCATATTTTTGAAAACATCGCTTGTATTTTCTATTGTCGGTTAGACCCTATGCTTCATCTAGCGTTGGAATGACCGGCCGTGAATCAGGAATTCGCTGCTGACTTCAAACCACCTCTCCAAGAAGGGAGACTCTTGCAAGACTCTCCGTCCTATTTGCTGTCCATACCTCACAGCCCTTGAACATTTCTTGCAGAATAATCTTGCCTCCGATGCAAATTGTGGCATCCGAAGCTGACACCAGCCAATATTGGGCACTTGGCTATCACAACCATAATTTCCTTGTCATTGTATGGGCATCGATCTAGAACCCGTTGTCTCGGCTGAATCATTTCACAAGCGTTAGCCATCCTGACAGATCTCGGCATTCCGAGCCGAGATGCCGAGGTAAACAAAATCTAGTACTCGCCCTTTGAGTCTTAACATATTGTGTAAACCTTGGCGGAAATTTGAAAAGGTTGGCTTCTCGGTCAGATTATCTTGAAGAAAAACCGCCATAACTTTCTTGAAGTAGGGGTCCAGGAGCGAGGTCAATTCCGGCTAAAAATTTCTGTTCCGGCATACGGCCTGGTCATGTTTCCAAGCTGCTCCAAGTCGGGGACCCAAGATTGCAGACTGCCGCCGGGCTCTCTCGAAGTAGAGCGAAAGACAACCATATTTGCACATCATTGTGACATGAGCATGGCGCGGATAAGGTCTTTTAAGACAGACTGGACTGATTGTCGATAAAATTTGGAGCCGGAACAAGCTCCTGACCATCTGACGCAAGGCCTAGCAGGGCATACGCTTTATCCCTCGGATCTGTGGCTAAATATGCATAGTTGCTCAGCAGCAGTCTGATCAGAGGCATCTGAATCCCTTGGAATTTGGTACATACCTAGTAGCTACGATGCGCTCTCCTTCGATCTTATAATCAAGGATATGTTGAATATTTGTCATGTCCGTCCAGTCTGGTCCACAGTACAACATTACATTCGTTGCTGCAACTGTCTCTTGGATGATCCAAGTCCGCTTCCAATACAATCTTTTGAACAAGGCTCCGACTGCTTGCCTTGAGTCGAAAGTCGGTGTCGAGGCTCGAGGATTTGGAGTCCCCAATCCACTGAAAAGTGTCTATATAGTCCATTGCCCGAGATTCATGGTCTCGTTCAACACATAACTACGCGATGACTAAGATCGCTTGAGAATATATCGTTTTCATACGAAGGACTTGAAGACTTCGCTCTCCCCGGTCCGCCTGGTTGACGCAGAGTGTATCGAACTATCCGAAAGGACCCAACAAGTCACCCACCCCCTGCAGATCCTCGGGCTCCCTATGACCCTAATAAACCCCTGACTAAGTCACCGAATAGCCCTTGCCTCGCGAGTTCATTTCTTATATTTTCTAAACTATATACTATATACTATATATTATACACTATTACAAGCTAATGCTCTAGGCTTATAAGAGTGGTTTTTAAGCCGTAAGGCCCGAAAAGCCCTGCCATAAGGCCTATACCGTTAACGACTATTATTATATAATTTCATGTAACACCCCCGGAGGGCGAGCTGCAGGAGGTCGTAAATATTTCTACTTGATTATCTGCGAGTTGGAACCACACTTGCCTGTCGTGGTAGGCACGTGACTCAACTTCCATAAAAGGCAGCTGCTGACCAAGGACGAAGAATGCATGCGTCAGAAGATCAAATGCGATAAGAAATCCCTTGTTCGCGATTTCATAGCTAGGGTGTGAGTATATGCGAGAATTAGTTCGTATGGGCAAGCAGATTTTTCAAAGCAGGGGAGCGAGATAGACTTCAAGGTTAAAGCTGCGGCTTGAAGCAAATAATCAGACGCCCAACGTGGCCAATGAGGTGGAAACAAGGAACTCAGAACTTAAATAATCTTTCATATGCTTCTAGTAATACGTTCTCTTTAATTCTTCTTTTCCCAAGACAATACGCCTGAGACAACGCACTACTGCCTAATGAAGTTCATATGGCAGAAACTTCCAATATAATTAGCCTGAGATATAATACGGGACTATGGGAAAGCTGCCGAGCACATAATGGCCAATTAATTAGAGCCTCGTTATATATAGTAATAATAGCGGCTAAGGATAATTGCGATCTTTCGACGAGGCTAGATTAACCTTCTCAGATCTTAATTCAAACTCTTGGTATTATATCTCATGAGACTATTAAAAAGTTACCTTCCATATTATAGATATCCTATAAGATTAGTAGTATAGCTTTACTTGACTAGAAAGGAACTAATATGGTACCTCCTATATGGCTTGCTCGGTTTTAATCAGGAAAATCTCCTTTATTAACCGACCAAAATATGTAATAAGCAGAGACTAATAATACTGAAGCACTCCAGGACTAGCCACAAGCTATTGCCCCAGACCCGACGCCTATACTTGGCGGTCGCAATGATTCCTGGTATAGATTATAAGTATATATGTATCCTTCTCAATCCCAAAGCTTATAAGGCTCCAGGTATCAAGAATCTCAAGATCGAGTAAATATTAAAATCGGTACTAGAAAAGTAGCCAAAAGATATATAATCTATAGACGCTTAATCTACTACTACTCTAGTTACTTTAAAGGAGCTTGCTAATCTGGCTTTGCAAAGTCCCTGTCCAAGCAATTCGACTTAGCCAATAATAATCCTATTACATTTAAACTCTTTATATATTAGATATATTTATAAGACAAAGAACCTCTAATCTATAATCCCGTAACTTCTCTATCTAATTAGTTACTAGAAATCACAGAAAGTGCCTGGATACTAGTAGATAAGCTTATTATACCCGAGTTCGGCAAATACGCTCTTGCCTAGTTTATATAATATATCTATCTCATAACTATAGAAAGGTTAATAGCCATATATATGCAGATTTTACGAGACTCTCCCTTGCGTCTTTTCTGCTCCCGGTAGATAGCCTTTTGTTATAGTAGTAAGATTAATAATGTTTCGAAAGTCTTATAGAGAAATGAGTATGAGGAGCTTAATATTTCGATTTAAGACTCAAGTAATAATCCAAGAAGATATAAGATTAGATACTAGTATGAATCTTATAGGAAGTTAATGGCGCCTGAGTATTTGTATGGGACAAATGCACCATAGACAAATTGGCCGCAGATAAGGCAGCCTTAGACTAGTTAGCCGAGGTTAGGTACGGTATTATTATATACTACTCTTATATATTTCTTACTATTAAGTTTATACCGGGCTATTATTAATGAAATATAGGCTCTGTATATTATCCTTATTCTGGGGCTCTCTACCGCCCTCCTCGTAGCAGAAGACAATGGTTTGATCCGCCAAATAACCAAGAATTTCGATATCTTCGTCGCTCTAGTTTTAATTATTATACTCGTTATTCCGCTAGCTTTTCCTCTTACCGGGATCTTTGCCCTCGGTACTATAACTATAATGGCTATTAATATAACTACGTATTTCTCGGTAAGTTAATTATTACTAATCCTAGAGAATAGGAAGGTATTTATCTGCTTATAGGACATAAGTTCTAATTATATAAGCCAAATCATTATTATTAATAGCCTTTTAGTTACTTATTAACTCTAGGGTCCTCTATTACCGATATTTACCTGTCAAAAAACTATAGCTTTGGCTTTTTTTTTATATCTTAGTCTACTAATATTTTCTGTTATTTCGTTCCTATAGTAGTAGAAGATTTTAAAGAATCGTGGCTCATTACCTGAGAGATGGAACTGGCTAGGCGCTGGCGGAGTTTAGTTCTTACTTTCGAGCCAGTATTGAGTCTGAGATAACTAGAAGAATTATTAGTAGTAAGAGTATCTTTAAAAATACTCTAGTATACAAATTAGGTCCTGAGATATGGAAAGAAAATGGATCTATTAGGGGATATTAAGAAATAAGTATTTAAGATTATTTATAATTAAAAGAAGTTTATTAATATATTTTCTTTATAATAATATAATAATATGAGTTTGGGCCGCTTTACTAAAATTATTACTAGTAGCCCTATATAAGCTCCGGGGCTAGTAATAATTTTGCTCTAAACTCGTCTCAAATAGCTCTAAATAATACTTCTTAGTAATAAACCCTTTATAGCTTCTTTATAAATTATATAAAATTACTTATAAATAAGCTAAAAATATTCTCTTAATTTATATTTTAATTAAATATATAATATTAATTTAATTTAATTTAATTTTAAGTTTAATTTAATTTATATATTATTAAAATATTTAATATAATAAAAATTATAATAAATCTAAATTTAAAATATTATTTAATATATAAATTTATTTCAAATTAAATACTTACTTTATATTATTATAAAATATTAAAAAAATACTTATATATTAAAAACTCTTATAATATTAAATTATATAAAAGAATATTAAAACTTTTAATAATATAAATACTTTAAATAAAAACTAAAGAATATTAATTTAAATATATATAAATTATTTTTAAGAAAAAGTAAAAGTTTATTAAGCTTTATATAAGATTTAAATTCTTTTATTAATAAGTATTATATAAAAAAAGGTTTTAATAAAAATAATTTATTAATAT